TTTTTTTAAAAAACAACTTTATTTAGTCGTGTAAAGTCGTTTTATCCACTCGGGAAAATTCGGAAATGCAACAGTTTGGAACAGCCGCTTCCCTACGACTTTAATAATCCCAGTCAGAGTTCTGGCTTAAATCCTATAGAGATTCTGTGGAGGGAGCTAAAGATTAGGGTGATGGCATGGAGGTATTCCAGCCTTAAAGGCCCTGCAGCTCATCACAAAAGAAAGTAGTGAATAAATAATATGAACAGATAAAAAGCTCCTCATTTCACATTAAAATATATATATATATATATATAAAAAGAATTGGTTGAATTTAATTTAAATCTAACTTCTTAATTGGGTTTGACTAATTTCTGATCAATTCTAAGAAGCATGTGGTAATAAAAGTAAAGCATGAACTCTATATTTTTTTGTGTTATTGCACCTTTTGTTAAAAAAACATCTGTGTTTTGGGTATTTGTTTTTTTAAGGTGAGAAAGATAATTTATAAAACAAGAAGACGCAGAGCTGGTATCATTTTATGCAATTTTTATTTCCAGATTATATTAGTTAGGGGGTAGAATGAACCTTGTTAAACAGCTTATTATTTAATTTAGTTGGCTGAGAAAGCAGAATTACTCTTCCGTCCTACATTTGTTGTTTGACGAAATCACAAGAAAAAACTATTTATATGAAAAGTTAACTTTTGATCTTTGGATCAACCACTTTGTAGACGTTTGCATCTGCTTTTTTGCAGTAATCATTTTTCTTTCCTCATCAGTTGTTAAAAATCTGTGCGAGGATTGCTGTTTGGTATTAGGCAGGGCCTTAGATGTTCTGCTTCCTTAAACCTCCAGAAACGGTTTTTCTAAGTAAATTACAGAACAATGGGAACAGATTTTATTAAAACTGAAACTGCTGAATAAGCCAAAGCATATCTCTGATTGAGATATGCTTTTTTATAGCCATCTGGTGCCTTTCAGTTTATTTTTATGTTTTTCTAAATTTAACCACAGCTTTCATCTCTCTTGGCTCAAACAGTGTTTCACTTTTTATCTTGGAAAAGAAATGCTAGAATCTGTCCCAATCCTTCCTATTTTAATAATGTTGGTCAGATCCTAACATTTTCTCATTTTGATTGCCTCAGCAAGCACACTTTAACAATTAAAATCTGATTTAATTAATTATCTGCATTCAGTCAATCTCCCACCTCTGTTCTTTTGTGATCCCTATAGATTCTAATCTCAGATATGTAATTTATAACAGCATTATAGACATAATGTTACCATTGTCTTTTTTAAATTGGTCTAATTATTGTCTTTCTGTCTTGCTTTAAGATTAAGTATCCCACTTTGAAGAGGGGTTAAAATACTCATAAATATACAGTGAGGAAAATGAGTGGGGAGAATAAGTATTTGAACACTTTGCAGTTTTGCTCTCCCACTTAGAAATCAAGAAAGGGTCTGAAATTATCGTAGGTGCATGTCCACTATGAGAGACATGATCTGAAAAACAGAAATCCACTAATCACTAAATGTATTTGTATGATACAGCTGCAAATAAGTATTTGTATACCTATCAGCTAGTACTCAGACCCTCAAAGACCAGTTAGTCTGCCTTCAAAATGTCCACCTCTACTCCATTTATTATCCTAAATTAGATGCACCTGTTTGAGGTCATTAGCTGCATAGAGACACCTGTCCACCCCAAATAATCAGTAACAATCCAACCGTTAACATGGCAAAGACCAAAGAGCTGTACAAAGACACTAGAGACAAAATTGTAGACCTCCATGAGGCTGGAAAGGGCAACGGGGAAATTGCCAAGCAGCTTGGTGAAAAAAGGTCCACTGTTGGAGCAATCATTAGAAAATGGAAGAAGCTAAACATGACTGTCGATCTCTCTTAGACTGGGGCTCCATGCAAGATCTCACCTCATGGGGTCTCAATGATCCTAGGAAAGGTAGGAAATCAGACCAGAACTACACAGAAGGAGCTGGTCAATGACCTGAAAAGAGCTGGGACCACCGTTTCCATGGTTACTGTGGGTAATATATTAAGACATCATGGTTTGAAATCTTGCTTGGCACAGAAGGTTCCCTGGCATAAACCAGCACATGTCCAGGCCCGTCTTAAGTTTGCCAACAACCATTTGGATGATCCAGAGGCATCATGGGAGAAAGTCATGAGGTCAGATGAGACCAAAGTAGAACTTATTGGTCATAATTCTAATTTGGAGGAAGAAGAATGATGAGTACCATGCCAAGAACACCTTCCCTACTGTGAGGCATGGGGTGGTAGCATCATGCTTTGGGGGCAACTGCACTGTATTAAGGAGAGGATGACCAAAGCCATGTATTGGGAGATTTTGGGGAACAACCTCCTTCCCTCAGAACATTGAAGATGGATCGAGGCTGGATCTGCCAACAACCCGAAGCACACAGCCAGGATAACCAAGGAGTTAATCTGGAAGAAACATATCAAGGTTCTGACGTGGCTTAGCCAGTCTCTAGACCTAAACCCAATAGAGAATCTTTGAAGGGAGCTTAAACTCCATGTTTCTCTGCAGCAGCCCAGAAACCTGACTGATCTATAGAAGACCCATGTGGAGGAGTGGGCCAAAATCACTCCTGCAATGTATGCAAACCATGTGGAAAAACTACAGGAAATGATTGATCTCTATTAGCAGCTGTATCACAAATGAATTGTGAAAAATCCTACATTTTGATTTCTGGATAATTTCTTTTTAGATTATGTCTCTCAATTTGGACATGCAAAAAAAAAAATAATAATGTTAGAACTGTAATTATACAATCATATATTTATATTAACATTTTTTATGTATCGTTTTACAAGGCTGCACTTTAAAAAATGAAATTGTCTAGAGCTGTTTTAAAGGAAATTTCTGTTTGTTTACATTTATGATTATTTGACAAAATAAATCTAAGTCTCTAAGTCTACATACGATGAAAATTTCAGACCGCTCCATGATTTCTTAGTGGGAGAACTTGCAAAATAGCAGGGTGATCAAATACTTTTTTTCCTCACTGTATAATAGGCTTCCTGTAATAAATAAGAAGAATCCAAGCAAGTGCTAATAATTGAAAGTGATATTTTTAATCAGTATTTTTAATTTTCGCTCCTATAAGTAAATCTGCTCATATGAAATGTGCTCCAACGTTGGCATGTGTTTATTCTTAGACTGCAGTTGTTGTTTTTGTGTTTTTGAAGTTCGGATGTGTTGTCCTCATTCGATACATTTGCTCCTCCATGTCCCAGAACATGGCAGAACCAGATTAAAAAAACAAAAAGAAAAGCAGAAGGCGTGGGCGGATGGGCTTCGTGAGCCGGCTGCAGGCAGCAGGGAGTCATGTGCCCCGTCTGCCTCCAGCTGGCGCTCCAAACACTCCAGCCCACGCTGCAAACAAGCATCACGACCCCATGACCAGCGACGCGTTTCATCGGACATTCAGCCATCTATACGTCTGTTTGTTCAATAAATGTCGTACCCTTGTTCTCCTGTTCCCTCTTCTGCAGGTTGAGGTTCCTGAACCTGAAAGAGGGACCCCCTCCGCCCCTCCTGACTCAGCCCGGCCTGCAGCGAACCAGTAACCGCCTCGATTGAAACTCTCCATGCATCACATTTGTTCAATAAATGCTATAAAAATAGCAACAAATCTGTCCCAGTTGTGTGTTTCTTCTGATTAGTGAACTCGGGCTTCTCGCAGCTGATCCGGCTGTAAACAAACGGATAAAGTAACATGTGTGCAAGCAGTCTGCTTTCCAACAAAGGCCGTGTGTCTGAACCAGCAGCTGTTGTGCGTATCAGTGGTCAGACAGGTGGCTCCTGACCCTCAGGATCGCAGACATGAGGCGGTGTCCTCTTACTTGTTTTCGCTCCCGTTTCCCATGAAGAATAAGTTTTAATCTTTGGGAAAATCCTACTTACAGTAAAACCTGCATCAAAAACGATTGTCTGCATTTATTCTGCAGAACCGCATCAGAAATCTACGCTGCAGCTGTCGGTGCTGATCCAAATGCAAACTGTGAGGGACACGCCCTGGGACATGTGCTGCAGGCTTGAGGGTCAGCACCTGCACCGGCTGAGATGGTTGAATGTGTGCCCTGAATGCACGAGTGGCGTTCAGGAATGTCTGCAGCTTGAATGAGATATGGAATAATGTATTTAATTGGCTTTTAGATTCTAATGTCCCTTTAATGCTAAAGATTGAAGGTTTTATGCTCCATCTATCCTCATTGTGCGCCTTAAACTGAGCAGCTTAGTTTAATCTCATATTTTCTCCCCTTCTGGTTGCTTTACACCAATAGCACAGCGTGTGTGTGTAAGGCAGGTTTACAGAGTCAGGGCGGTAGCTGTGGATCGCCATCTCGCCGTCATAGAGTGACCTGTGAGTAAATCAGATAAGTGTGGCATTTAGGGAAAGCTACAAAATGCAGCGGGCATTTTCTGCTCGCTAAGCTGTTAATGTTGCAGATTTGTTCGACCTTGACTGCTCAATGTTTCTCTTCATGCAGTGTTGATTCTTCACTTCATAAAATCACAATTCACCTTTTAATGCATTATAGAGAATATTTTAACACCTGTATAAAGATAAAGTAGAGTTGATATAAACTGTTTTTATATCAACAAACTTTTTCCAATTTTCATGGGAAGGATTTTAAAATATTTAGGTTTTGCTTTTAGTTTTAATTATGTTGTTATAACTTGAAATGCTTCTTATTATAAACCATAAGATTCATATTTTTCATTTAGAACTTATTGTTCCTTTAGTGGGGAAATGTGTCTTCTAGATTTTAACCTTTTATTTGGGCACCACGGCAGCTCAGATCCCTGATTACTGGTAACTCAATGATGGGTCAAATTAAATAACAATTAGAATAAAAAAATGCTTTATTTTATTCTACAGAACACACAATGTCATTTTGATTGGCAGCATCTCTTTGGCATCAATTTACTTTATTAAAACTGAACATTAAAAGAACATTGAGTCTCAGAAGCCAACTTTGAAAGTTGGTTTTCCCACATTTCACACCAAAGTTAACTGAACTTTAACGTTTTGAAATAACCAACACATTAAAGCATAAAGTTTTGGTAATTCATTTGATTAAGTTAAAGAAGTTAAAGATTACAGCTACCTTAGTTTTCTGAGCTGACCTAAATTATTTGCCTAAATTTAACACTTTCTTTTGAGGCTACGCAATTGAAAGTAGTTTTTTAGCTCAATAAAGGTTGTTTTTTTTTTTTTTACAGTTTAAATAGGAGTTATTACTTTTTAAGGTAATGTAAAGCGACAAAAGTTTCTAAGAGCTGGTATATTATATGTTATATAGAACATAGCAAAATGTCAAAAAAAGGGAGCATATGTGGCTGACCCATTTTTCCAGTTTTTACTTAGATATCAGTGCACATAGAAAATAGAAAACTGTTTGTAGCCATGATTGTTTCCATTATTTGTTACACTATATCTTTAAAAAAAATTAAAATACAGCCAAAGAAAAGATTTGATTAAAAAAATTAACTTCTGGTTAAGAAAACTGTTCTATCATCCTATTTGATGAAGTAATACATTTACAAAATGTACAAATATTTACACAGAAAAATGTTTTCTTAATCTTTTAAACATAGACATTATGTTTTAAAGCTTATTAACATATTAATGAATGGCTCATCATATAGAAAATCACATGAAAACATTAAAGCTTTTGTTATATAGATAGAGTAACAGAGTCTTATATAACACTCATTCAATAACAGTCATTTTCAGGACAACTACCTGATATTGTTGTTTATATGGTCCTTCTTGTTTAAATGATAAAGTGATAAAATGTCAATGATAAAACATCCATTTTTGGGGAAAGCAATATTTCATTAATGCTACATTATAAATATGGAAAAATAACTTAATCTGCGTCCATCTCCATTTCTGCTCCTTTATGCTGCTCCAAACAAGTACATTTGGCTTCTTTTTTTAATCTTGCATTCTTGTGGTGTATTATCCTTACCCAAAGGTGGAAACAAAGTGACCTCCCCTCTTTTTTATCAACCTCTAGTTGATCAACTTAGATATTTTTTGTGATTTAAATAGTTGTGGTCCAAAACAATGTTAATTTAATACTTATCTATTATAATGACATTGTAATATGACATAATTAGGCTGTAGCTATGAATCACAGCTATCCACCAATTATGTTTATGCATTTTTTTCTACTTATCCTAAATATTTCGGCATGATACCAATTCTCAGATTTAGACTGAGATGGTTATGTGTCATTTTACTGCAGCTCTGGCTGATGTTTTTTTTTTTTGCAGGATAGCTTTTAGCTCCTTATAGTTTTGCTCACTACATGAGCAAAACTACATGGAGATTCCTGATGACATTTTCTCGCATGCTGTGGGGGAAACTTTCCCACAGCATGATGCTACCATCTCCATGCACCAAGAATAGGTGGTTGTGTTTTAACTCTGTTAAATCCCAATAAAATACATAAAAGTTTATATTTGTAACACGGTAGAACGTCATGGATGCTTCTAGACGGGGGCCAACAGGGGCCAGTGCTCCTTCACTAAAGACATAACACACCCCAATAAATTATGGTGAATAAATATGCACTGGAACAGAAACCACTGGAACATTTTTATTATTAGTAAGTTATTTCTCAGCTTCTGTCATCTTGAGATGGAATCATATTTTTCTTTTGCTAGATCTGAGGTTTTCAGAGCTGCTCTTTGGTTCACCTGGTATATATCAGACAGTGAACTTTTGCCTTGTTTATTTGTTTCTTTCTGTGCCCTCATGGAAGGAAACAAAACATCCGGCTCAGGACTACGAAGCATTGCTGAATCTTAGAGTTTTTATTGGTTCTCAAGGATCTTTACCAACTAAAAAAATAAATAAAAAGCTGTGGAAATTGTACGGAAGAGGATTAGGGCCACTGAAAAAACAAAAAAAGTTAACTGATTTTTAAATTTTATTTCAGTATAGTATGAGGAAAAAGTCAGAAATCCGGCTTTAATCTCAGAATTCTGACTTTAATCTCAGAATTTTGGATCTTAATGTAGATGGGCACCATGAAGGAAGAGATGTAGGAGCACTGAGCTTCACTGACAAAGATGTGAGTTGTTTGGGAGGGCCAGTAACACATTGGTGGAAAATTACGAAATTAGGCGACTTTTTACATGCCCGAGGGGTCCCTGGTGATGCCATTTCATTATTAGAAGAGCAAAAGGTGATTAAAACAAGAGAGCTAGATAGACTCTAAAATAGACATGGCTACGGCTTAATGCTAACATGTTTGTTAGTCTCAGAATTCTGAGATTTAGAGTCAGAATTCTGAGATTGGAGTCAGAAAACAGATTTAGAGTCAGAAATCTGAGATTTAAAGTCAGAATTCTGAAATTTAAAGTCGGAAATCTGAGATTAGAGTCAGAAATCTGAGATTTAAAGTCGGAAATCTGAGATTAGTCAGAATTCTGAAATTTAAAGTCGGAAATCTGAGATTAGAGTCAGAAATCTAAGATTTAAAGTCGGAAATCTGAGATTAGAGTCAGAAATCTGAGATTTAAAGTCGGAATTCTGAGATTAGAGTCAGAAATCTGAGATTTAAAGTCAGAATTTTTAGATTAGAGGCAGAATTCTGAGATTTAAAGTCAGGATTCTGAGATTCAAAGTAAGGATTCTGACCTTTTTCCCATATTAAACTGAAATAATATTTAAAAATCAGTTAACTTTTTTATTTTTTCATTGGCCCTTATCCTGTTCCGTAAAACTGTAAATAGGCTTTTTTTAATCTAACATTAAAGCTTAAGCATGGAGTGAGGTGAGCGTGAATCTCTGGTTGAGGCCGGTGCAGTGCGCGCCTTTGGACGCGGCGCTGCGCTCTAGGCGCACCGCTCTCCCCGCCTCCCTCCTTTCTCTCCCTCCTTCCTCCCTCCCTCATCTCCACCTCAATCAGCGCTGAAACGGCACGGCACGAGAAGGAGAGAGAAAAAAAAAGCAAACTGGAGACTCATTCGCCTCCACAGTGTCCGATCTTCGCCATTCCCTCTCCGACGTCTCCACCGGCCGCTGGCTGCGCGCCGCTCCTCCAGCTGTAGCAGCAGCTCCGGCCGCTCTCTCTCTCTCTCTCCCTCTCTCCCCCCCTCCTCCCCCCGGTCTGGACGGTAGTTTCTTCCCTGGATGCTGGATGAACCATCGGAGAGTTGTGAACAAGTGTGAGAAGAGCGCCGAGGATCCGCGTCCCCGCTCCGTCCAGGGAAGACGAGACTCAGCCGGAGTTGTGGACGACAATGGAGGGGACGTCCCTGTATCTCCCTATTGTTATTTTACTGATGCAATGTAAGTAGAAACGGAAAGATTTTAATCAGAGGAATCACTTTAGGACCCAGCCAGGATGGTTTCATTGGATGGATTAAGATAAACACTTAGGCAATTAGTTTAACGCTTTGGGGTTAAGATCCTATATTTAAAGCTGCTGGATGGACTTTTCTAGGAAAACACTCACTCCCTTACATATAGTTAGGATTTATCTTTGTTTTGCTGTTTTAAAATGTGAATGTTGCATTTATTTTAGCTGTCTAATGTATTTCCTTCCATTTTCTTTGCTCAGTGTTGGCAATTTTATTCATAATCATTTGTACTGTTACATTAACATTAACTCCATCCAGGCAGCACCAGGTGACCTACAGTAGACTAAGCCAAGGCTTTCAGCTCATGCATTTTACAAGTGGAAAATATGCATGGAAGCCAACCGGATAGGTGGGGGGGAAAAAAAATCATGTTTGAAGATGTTTAAGCTCTGCTTCAGCCTCATTATCAGCAGCATCTTCCACAAGGGAGTCCGAGTCCAAAAATAAGCCAGGTTGAACCTCTTCCAATTAAAATCTGACTCCTGTTCTTCAAAGTCTGTCCGCCTGGATGTTAAGGAACTTCAGATATCCCAAGCGGGGTCACGAGGGGTGCTGGTGCCTATCTCCGGCTGTCTACGGGCGAGAGGCGGGGTACACCCTGGACGGGTCGCCAGTCCGTCGCAGGGCAATTTACTCATGATTTTATCAATCCTAAAAGTGAAGATGCACTGACATTCCGGCAAAGAAGAAAGATGTTTGCTACTTCAAACTACACACTTTCCTCAAACACTTTCATGAATGCGGAAGGTCGGGACAAAAACAAGAGGAGATAAAATGTGAAACAATGGGAGGTTTTTCAGGAGCTCTCTTGATTATCCTGTTTGGGAACCCGGATGACGTTCGTGGGAGAGGAAAAAAGCTTTGATGGATGCGATGAGACAGTGTGAGCGAGTGATGCACACTTTGCTCTCTGTGGGTGACATTTGGCTACCTGTCAGGCCTCCAGAGTTTCTGAAATGTACCACTTGGCCAAAAGTGAAGGGAAACACTTGGGCGTGTCTGCAGGAGACTCACCATCCCAAATATCAACCCGTCTCCCTCCCACATGGTGTTCCTGACTGAGACAGCTGTTTCTCTTGCATTTGGCTCACACAGTCGGGCTTTGTTCACAAGGAAAACACACAGACACCCATGCATGCCCAGAGTTCATGTCCTGTTTTTCCTCCGCAGCCTTAAAACGTGTGCCATCCACTTTATCTCCATCGCACAGGCAGACGGGGCACTTCCTATGGGTCCGTCTCCCTTCCCTCTCATCTGTTCCCTGTTCATTTAAATAAGTGCCTTAATTATTACTGCGCCACACTCCTGACCTCTGTAACACCCCGTACGGACCTCGTAATCGGAGCCCAGCCGCAGCGTGTCCGTCCTATTTTCTGCCAAGACGCCGATGTCCCTTTGAGCTCCTAAGCCGTCGATGTGTTTGGTTCATGTTAGAGTGCAGGAGCATTTTAATTACCACCGAGCCCCCCCTGTTTGATGCTATATTTGTAAACCAACAGGGACCTCCTGCTGAGATGCATATGAATTACTTATCAGGATCCATCTAAAAAACTTTGTGACTCATTCTTAGTGGAATAATCAGTTTGTTCCAGCTAGTACGCCTTAGCTGGTCTCCAGGGCGTGTTTTGTCCGGGGTTGGGTTGTTTCTGGATGCGAACGTCGGTCCAACCCTGACAGGAAGCTGCTGATTGGGGTTAGTTTTCTACCGACATTTAAATCGGCTAAATATAGTCAGATTTGATCTGTCCGGCAATTGCTTCATGTTGAGTTCACTGACCAAGAGCAACTGACAGGGTTCTCTCTGCAGTCCAGAAAAATCATGATTCCTTATTCTGTTCTCTAATGGCTTGCCTTCCATCCATCCATCAATGCGATCAGGCTGCTTGGGTTGCCCTCATGGGTATTATACTACAGTATGTCCACCATGGCTTTATCGTATGCCTCAACGCCTTCATGGTTAATTGAGGTCGTAAAAGCTGTCAGTTTTCAAAGCAGTGGAACACGTCAGGGGGGGGACCTCACATGCAGAGCCTGTTGGTCGTTTTTTTTAAAGTGTCTACAGGCATGTTGTCACCCCTGCTTTGTTTCCGTACCTTTATTTTCCAGACACTAGGCCTTCACCCGCACTATGCGAGAGTTTCTCCCGGTTCTGGTCCCTGCTGTCAGACACCATCTCCTTCGCCTTCAGTCCCACTCGCTCTTTTATTCATGCTCCTGCAGGTCTTAAGTCCCCTGCCCCCCCCATCTCCGCCTAGCTCCACTCAGTGTGACTCGCTCTCCTTCGCTCCATTTGTATTCTATTCTTAGGGACGCTCATCTCTCCTTGATCGTTCATTCTTGTCCCCTTTTAATCTGATTGCATCTTTCCTCCTCGTTTCGCCCTTTCCTTTTGGTGAGCGCGTGCTTCCCTGAGGGTGTCGAGGTACGCGGGCCAAAGTTACCATAATCCTGTTAAGCCGCCTCAAGTTAAAGCATGTCCTACTGAAGGGAACAGAGACCGTCCAGAGGGAAGGATACACTTATTTGAGGCAAAATTAGGAGTGAAGCTGAGGAGAGCTGCTCTAGATTTAGGAAAGGCGTTTCCAGAGTGGCAACTATCAGATACCGGTTTCGATTGGGTTGTACTGTCTAATCAAACTGGGATTATGACATTCTGTGCAGCTGTCCTGCTGTTTTATTCGTCTTCCTACTGTTTGTCTCAGCTTTCCCTGCTTTCTCCGTTTGCAAGGGGCAGGCCCTCTGTGACTGCAGCGTAAAATATCACAACAATGGAGCCAGCTCAGGAAGTCACCGACTTACAGGAAACTGGACAACTGAATAACGACTGTGTGCTTATTTTTATATTTAGATTTGTCATTTGAAAGAACAATGCTTAGGGGGGAAAAAAACCCTGCTTACTCACACGGGTAAATGAACTGGCCAAGCTTTCGTCTCTCTATGCAGACATCGTTTAAACTTCCTGCCTTGTGCCTGAGATCCAATCTGCTTCAGCACTGGCCGGCCAGTAGGATCACCTCTCTACTCGCATTGGGAAAACATTTAAAACCCTTTCCAATCTTCTCAGGACTGGATTTCCCATCGAGTTCAGCCTGACATTAGATTAATCATCTCAGACTTGTTGATCTAAAATATTTAATTTGATCTGACAAAAAAAAGCTAAATTCGATTTTTGTTTTCTTTTGATAAGAAGAAAATTAACTAAATAGTACCTTTCTGACAACATGAAGTAGGCTTAAACAACTTGAATCCCCCTGGTGTAAATAAATTCAGGAACAGATGGGAAACTGTCTCCATTTGTAAACCACGAGGCTACAAACGGATCAGGCCATTAAAATACCCTTGGAGGAAAACCCCCTGATTGGTCAAAGCTTCCGCCTTTCATCAGTGCGGAAAAGATTATAAAGCTGTTTCTTAGGCTTTGGGGCTTCATTAAACCGCCGTTTAAAAACACAAATGTCCAGAAATGGTGGAAAAAGGAGGACCAATCATTTCTAGCAGTGAAAACCTGACCGAATTTACTGTGGAGATTCATCCAAGAGGTCATTAAAGAACCCAGAACATTGTCTAAAGCTCCTTTTTCACATAGAGCCTGAAGGTTTGGGTGGCTTTTTCCTTTAATAAATTAAAATGCCATTTGAAAATGGCTTAAAGTAGGAAACAAAACAGAATCAGGGTATTTTAAGCTTTTCCTTTGATGGTGTTTTTTTGTTTTTTTCCTGTGCATTTTGAATTAGTTTTGCTTTTGCACATAAAAAAAATAATAAAAGCAGGTACTCATCTTGTTTAGTTGCGAGGTATCGATGACACAGAAGGCAGAACGTGCCCCAATATATAGCTAATCCGAAGCCGTCGTTGGGTGAAACTATTGCCAACTTTGACCCAACCTGTGTTTAGACGAACGCGGGGTGAGCTCCTCCTTAAAGCTGCGGGATTAAGTGAAAGGACGAAGTAATCCTGTGTTTACTGCTGACCTCCTGGAGATGGACGCCTGCCGTGTTTACCTCATACATCAGAGCCCAAAGATGGCTGTTAAGTATTCTCCTCTTGCAGCCTGGGAGCATGCGTGGCATTTTAATTCGCCTTCTCTCCTAATGGACGGGTGGGGGGGGTATTTTACGGTAATTTTTATGATTTACCCACCCACAGTGTCTGATCTTCCTCCAGGTTCCCCGTCTGTTCCCGTGACCGTGAAGACCGCCAGACATATGGTGGAGGTGGAGGAGTTCTCAGGTGAGAACAAAAGGAAGCAAACACTTCTGTCCGGCCCTCTCTGACGGTGAAACGATGCGGCTATAAATAGATCAGGCCGTTAAAATGCCGCCTAAGAGGACCCCCTCTCTCCTACCTTTCAGATGCTGTGCTGTCATGCCAGTTCCACACCGAGGTGGACCAGAACCCGCGCATCGAGTGGAAAAAGAAGACGAAAGAGACTCAAGAGGTCTCCTTCGTTTACTTCGAGGGACGCTTCAAAGGTGGGAGCTGCAGAAGCAGACGGACTGATTTACAAGTTTTCATCTTCTGATTCGTTAAGATGCACCTGAAGGATGAATGAGTGTTGAAGCATAAAAGCGTCTCATCTCTGAGGCTGAATAAGTAATGAACACAAAAGCTTTCCCCCTGCTAAAGATGTCAGTGATTTGACACGTCTTTGACCTTCTGCCGCCTCCTCCAGCTGCTGGTGTATAAGAATGTTCCGCTGTTCTTAGAAAGACTGATGTCTGTTATCTAATCAGTTCCTGCTTCTAACAATCTATTGGCCAAAGATAGAAACCGATATTAACAAGTTGTCCTGATGTTGATTTCTGAATCTTTCCAGATTGTTTTGTCGCCTGTTATCAATTCTGAAGCTTTCATAAACGTCTAAGCTCTTTATTTAAAAGCAAACATCCAGAGCTACAGTCATTACATCCCTGCTCTCCTTACAGCTCCTTTTCAGTCTAGCAAATCTTGGAGACGATCAAATAAAAATATTCCTGTTAGTTGTTTCTGCTGCAGAGCTTTGATGAGACGTTTCCCCTTCCTCCCAGGTCCCTTTGAAGGCAGAGCAACCATCAACGGAGCGACCGTGACGCTGCACAAGGTGACCCAGGAGGACGCCGGAGAGTACCGATGCGAGATCAGCGCTTCCCTTGACCCCGTCACCCTGGGCGAGACCAACGTCACGCTTAACGTCTTAGGTACAGCCGGACGGATGAATCCTGAAGGATTTGGGGGGAGAAACGAGAAGTTTTGACTCACTTTATCCCCCCCTTCACCTTGTCACTCAGTTCCCCCACAAACCCCGTCGTGTGACGTCCCCGCCTCGGCTGTGACAGGATCAGCGGTGCAGCTGCGCTGCCGGGACCAGCAGAGCGTCCCACCTGCTACATACTCATGGTTCAAGGACAACAAGCCAATCAGCCCACCCCGTCACGCCAACGCGACCTATCTAATCAACTCCCACACGGGAATACTGGTGAGACAGCACGCAGCTGGAGCGTTTATCACCGTCTCCTTCAAGCTGCATCTCATTAGTAGGAGGTTAGAGACGGAGACTTGCAGAAATATTCACACTTTTCCCTTTTCTTTTAATATGTTAAACGGATTATTTGAAGGTTTTGATTTCCATATTTTCTGAACTATAAAGTGCATCTCACTATTAGCCGTGCCCACTAATTTTATGAAAAAACTGGAAATGTAGACATATAAGCAGCACTGTAACCTGGCAGTAGCCAGATTGATATGTGTAGAACTGAGTTGAGTTCTACGTTATCAGTCTGGAAAGGCTGCCGTTCAGTCTGTCTATGAAAAGGAAGGACGTTTAGTACAATACTTCGAGGTGATCTGGTGACAGGCCAGCTAGTTCCCGCCTTACCGTAATACGCTTTCAGCCAATCCTAGCATCAGAATAGGATTCGTTTGCAGCTTCCTGAGTGTTTTCACAACTAGCGGAGTACGCTGATAAATCTAACCTTTTTCCAAATCCTGTCAGAAGAAAAGTACATAGATCTTTCCCATTTACTTTCCAATCTTGCTCCTTTTTTGAATGAGAAGTTGTCGCTTTTTTAGCTAAAACCGAGTCAATTGCAGTATTGACGGGTGAGTCCTCCAGCGTAGCGTTGTTAATTCCCGGCAATATCCTTCTGATTGTCGTCATTCCTACACGTCCCATCTCAAAAAACACTGCTGACATGTCATTGGTACAACTCACTGGTTGTTCGGAAATAGATGTATTAGCGGGAGTCTTTAAAGACGGATTTGTTGTGAGGCTGAAAAATCAGATCTCGCGACAATCTTTCTTGCAGCACAAGGTTAGCCGCACCGCGCTATAAGCCGCTGATATCTACTGAACTGTCTTCCACCAAACCTGTAGGGGGAGCTCTACGTATAGCTCCTGGAGTAGGGAGGAAGAAGAATGCTAGCTCCAGTTAGCTTGTTGGTTCGCATCAGCATGAGCTCCTACCGAAAGACAGAGTTTTAAGCTATTTCAGTTCTGCAGGAGTTGAGCCCAGTTTCTTCATTGGTTCGGCAGCTTTAATGCGGCAAATAAATGTCAAAATGTGCAAATTCGGGACATTTGTTCTCCGTCATGCCTGCTGCTAGCATGTTCTTGTGCTAATTTAAATTGTCCCCCTGTCACTAACTACTTTGTACCGGACGCACAATCCGTGCCATCAGATCATTTGCGCATGCACACCCAGATATACACCCGGGACGCCCTCGATTTTATTTTGTAAAAAAGACGTAAATTACGTTTTTCCCTCCCCAAAAATAGTAAGCGTACTAAACAACAATGTGTTAAAGGTTAATAATGTATTTTTGTGAGAAAATAAATGTCTTAAAATCCTGTTTTTATCACTCATCTGTTCCCGATCTAACTAGATCCTACGCTACTTCCGGGAGCTAACTTTTTCAGCTTTCAAACATAAATCTAGTCTTTTTAAGTTTTATGTTTTCCTTTCATGTTAGGATTATGGTATATAGTGCGTAAGCTAAAGAACGAAACCACTAAAATGTAGATAAACATGGTTTAATCATATTTTGCAGGACTACTCTGAGCTTTTCCGATGATGACGTCAGAGAAGCTGTTTAACTGAAAAAATCTAAAAAGTGTCAAATTGTCTCAGAAAAGTGATAAAACATTTTTAAAGCTGAATATTAGCATCCTTTAGTGAGTTAAGGATAGAAGTAAGTAATTTTAGTACCATAATTACATTATTTATAGAAACCCGGATGTATATCTGGTCTGAGCCAATGGTACTGATCATGCTTCCTGGACGGATCGGGTTTTGTTACTAATTTATTTCAGCTCTGAAGGAGTTTAGCCCAATTCCTTCATTGGTTCGTCAGTTTTAATGAGGCAAATAAATGTCAAAATGTGTGAATTTTGGACATTTGTTCTTCGTCTAGATGAAAATTAGACCATAATTCTTTCATTGACATGACTTCCCCCTCTGGCGGTTAGGGGGGAGAAAAGCCGCACCTTCTTGTAAGCCGCATGGTTCAAAGCGCTGGAATGAAGTAGGCGCCTATAGTCCAGAAAATACGGTAATTAGAATCTGAAGATTCTTGACAATATTCTCAGGGAATATCTGGGAAAGTCAAGCCACAGATTCTTACTTGATTTCCACTTTTACTTTGACTAGGCCATTCTATTATATAAATATGCTTTAATCCAAGAGGTTCTCAGTGATTAGCCTGTGTTTGTGTGCAAAGTAGAGTGGAACTGGAATTCCAGATTCTTCTTTTGTCTTGTTCTCTGCAGGAGTTCAAATCCGTGGCCAAAGAGGACAGCGGTCGCTACAGCTGCTTGGCGTCCAACGGGGTGGGCTCCCCCAAAATGTGTGTAGGGAAGCACATGACGATAGGTGAGTGTCCTCCTCTCAGGGCTCTCTGATGGAACCAGCAGATCGAAGCTCACCCTTCCTCTCCCTAGAGGACGTCAACGTCACCATGATTGTTGGAGCCGTGGTGGTGGTCTGCCTGCTTCTTTTGGTGTGCGGCTGCGGGGGGATGCTTCTGCATCGGAACGGCTTACTCACGCGTAGGTTTTCTTCTCACGCTCGCCCAGACGTGACTAATGGTTTGTATTCTGTAAAAAAAACAAAAAATAAACAACTGATGTGGACTCTTGTTTTCTCTCCACGGCTGCGCCTCGTCCGTCAGAAGGACCCAGAGGGAGGTAAGAGCTCTGTGATTGCATTAACATCGATGTGAAGAAACGGTAATTGCTTGGGTTTGTCATTGCGCGCTCCCGACTGTTTGGCTGAGTCAGGACAGCTGTAGGAGTCCGGCTACCAACAGATATAAACCAAAAACAGCTTTTTTTCCCCCCAGTTCTGTTGAACTGACCTTAAAATGTAGCTGGGAAAATCAATCTAACCATCCGAGCTGCATAAATATGGAATAATTACTTGCTGTTAATCAGCAAGGAGGATCTTATTGGCAGGAGAAACTTCTGTGGGCAATTAACTTGATTGGATGGATTATGGAGATAGCGAAGGATGAGAGTGTGGTCTGGCATATAGTGACGCACCATCGGTGAGCCTGAAAACTCGGCTTCCTGTCATCCGATGGCTGGCCGGTCACCCCACTGCAGTCAGACAAGGTGGAGCTTTGGTTTAAAGTCTGATTTAACTGGAGCAGTCTCCATTTATTCTGCTATAGTTTTGAAAAATATTCCTAATGGACCTGTTTTCTTCCAGGCATGTCTGAGAGAGCCAGGACAGCAGATTTAATTTTTCTCCTGGCTCCTCCAGTTATTTCCTCTCTGTTCTGCCTCATCCTACCCTGCAGAAAATGTCAACTAATCTAGAGTTTCTTCAAGATATGAAGATATCTAGAATACATATGAATATAGGCCCCAGTTTAGCCTATCAGGGCAGCAGCATTCCAGTAGAGTTATCTACTGGTACAACCTCCAGGTTCCCAGCCCAGCTCTTATACCACTGCACTAATTGGAAGTCCTCCAACTTCAAATTAGTGCATGAAAAAATAAAGTATTGAGGTAAAGTTACAAGCCTTGTTTGTTTCTTCATAAATGTTTTAGTCCATCCTGCCTCTCTTACTTCCTTCACTTGAACAAGAGGCTTAAATGCAATTTGAACCCGGAACCAGAGCAGAGTGGTTTAACCACTGAACTGTCAGTTAAACGACCTGAAAGAAAACCTTCATGTTTTAAAATGTTTCCATGTTCGCTTCAGCGCTAAAATAAACACCTTTCCTGCAAACATTCAGCTGCATAAAGGCTCATTTAGGTCAGACACTAAAATGCTTTGTTTTATTAACAGGGTGCTGCATGGGATTGGCTGCATGATTTCACACATCATGTCTGAGTCGCATTAGAAATAACCTTTTAGTGTCTATTTAGTTAGTTGTGGCTGTTCTTTTTAAGCACAAACTGTTAGCAGGGAGGGAAAGTCATCACTTTAGATCACCTGCAGCACGGAGGAAGCATGAAAGTTTTATGCTCTGTCCGGCAGCAGCCGTCTGCACAGAAAAGCTCGGATATCCAATGTCATTGCCTGTTAGTGTCCACTTGATTAAGAAAACATTATTTTTTAGCCAACTATAGAGGCAAAGTAAACAAGATATTGCACAACTAAATCCACAAAGATGATATTTGTCAATATCTATCCACAAAAAGGTCAAATTGCTTTCATTTTATAGAGGGAATTAATCCAGTAGAGATCATAAGAGGAGAAAAACTGAATTTGTTCTGCAAACATTTGGTGCAAATATCTCTAATTTAGCTGCAGCTTTGGAAACATGCATACTCTCCTAAGCCCCGCCTTCAGATTAACCGAGGCTGCTGGATCCAATTTGTTCAAGTGTCTCTCTTCTTAAGAGACACCTGCAGGTGGTCTTAATGGTGCGGCTAATCCGGGTGCAGCGTACAAACAGAACCTGCCTTAAAGCAAGGCATCATTTAGGGAGGAAATGTATCCCCCTTAACTACAAGGTAGGTTACCTGCCTTTGATTATGTGGAGCCACGGGAAGTTTAGGCTCTGAAAGTATACGAGTTAATTTAATGGTGAAAATTAGGTTGTTAATATGTTAATATCAGTCGCAACCCTACAGTTTAACTTTGATGTCTGTGCCTCATAGTTTAAAAACAAACCAAAGCAGCTGTCCACAAGACATATAAAGGAAAAGTTTAGTGGAAGGAAAAAAAACTGATGGAGAGATTCATTCAAAGAACCACTGAAACATAATCCGGGATGTTGAACTCTGTTAAGTTCTAATTTCTGATGAAAGGGAAATTTTTAAGTTTGTTTTGGAAAAAAGGATTCCGACATATATTCAAAAATATATTCTAAAGAATTAAATGTTGGGTTTTCATCAGCTTTAAGCCAAACTCATTAGAAATAACTAAATACATCCTTCTGTGCGTAATAAACCTGTAATAAGATGGATTTCAATAAACTGAATTAATGTTAATTCTAATTTATATGATGTTGAAAAAAAGCTTAGGAGTGAAAATTTGGCGCTTCAACGCTGTAATCTGAACGTAAATGAAATTTATAGAACCGGCAGATTAATCCATCAGGTCCGTTTTCCTGCATGAATAATCACAACCGTCGTTTCCAAACTCCTGCATGGCGTGCAATGCTAGTCTGCCTTCGCTCTTCTTAAAGCCACCAACCTGACACCCCACCCCCCCACCCCGCAGGTCATTTTGGATCTCCCAGTGTCATGGTGCGGCCCACATCAGCAGCCAAACCCTGCACAGAACAGAGGACACGTGAGTGTGACACATGGGGACAAATTCACAGCCAGAAAGAGGTTAAATCTCATTAACCCGCTCCGACTCCAGGAAACGGTCTGAACACGGCCCAGAGACGGCCCTCTGGGAAATAAATCGTTTCGTTTTGGATTAACGAGATAAGGTGTTAATTACCAATCTGTAGAAGTGCGGCTAAGATGACTTCTTTTACTCTTGGCGTCCTTTGTTTGTCACCGTTGCTCATATTTAACACTCAGAAATGGTTTAAACATTTAAAAAAATCGTGCAAGAAAGAGTGAAACATCAAAATCTCATTATTTCTTCATCAGCTTTCAGTTAAAAAGTAAAAGCAGACATTTAAGCAATCACATTAGTGAATGTGAATAATTCAATCAATTCAACTTTGACTTTGGTGAATTATTCACAGATATGTAATATTAATTATAGCAGAAATGTTAATATATCTAATAAAAAATGCAGGTATTTAATTTAAATGGCCAAAATACACCAAAGCAGAAGTTTCAGTCGCTTTATTCTATAAACCAAATTATAAATGGACATTTTTTGTGTTGTAGCTGTGAGTACCGGTAGTCAGTATCTTACCTGAGGCAGAGGATGTTTCTCCTGGTGGTTTTCCTTAATAGACAGTCTTCATAACTAGAACAGGAAGAAAAATGGACGCCGTTCCAAAACAATTAATAAAAGTGAGGACAGAAAGCAGCCCTCCAAAGACTCACTTTAAAGCTATGAATACTAATGCAGCCAAATTTTCAGTGTTTCAATGAGGTTGTACAAATGCAGGAAAAACAAACTACCTTTCATATAAATAATCTGTCCAACTGATTTAAAATGAACCGATTCATTTTCACGGCTTACCAGCTCAATTTTTTTGAACCAAGTTTACATCTCCAACTTGAACTATTTTTGTCTGCAATCTCCTCAGCATATCAATCAGCCACAAATTACCACATGGATAATTTAGTGTCTCATAATCTGGATTATTCTCTCCCGTAGCCTTTTTTTTGTAATCACTATTTCATTATTGCAACAAAAGCTCCTGTAATTAGATATTTTTACTTGTTTGTAATGAAGGCTTTTGGCTCCTTTAACTGTTATGGCAAATTCAAAAACTCAGAGCAATAGTATTTGACTTGGTGTATTGAATATTTTGTTTTTAGGTTTTATATAAAGAAAGAAAACGATTAAAGGCTTTTCTATAAATGCATGTCAATTAGACGGGTACAGGTAGCAGTGGTTTTGTTATGGGCACCTAACCTGACTCGGCCAGATGGATTTACTCCGCATATCCATCTGGAAACCTCCCGTTGAAGTAATTTTGGGAAGGGGTGAAAATACTGGTTAGCTGATTGGCCTATGTTGGTGATAGACGGGCCAAATAAACCAATCAGATCAACGAAGCATATGAAGCAACAGAGCGACGACGAAGAGGAGCCAATTGATAGATCAAACTCTTGCCAAAACCAGTCGGGAGAAGAGCAAAAACATCTTTTCCTCTGAGAAAAGCCTCCAGAGCAGTGTTTTGCTCTTCTTTCAGTGAAGAAATACTCTGTAATTCTGATAAAACTTGCTCGATAGCCACGCTAACGCTAGTTTCATCGGCTGAAGCCGCCATGTTCTTTAGATTGAACTGTCGCGCTTCTCGTTGCGTCACACCTCAACCCGCCTCAAATCCAACACTGATTGGACGTTCGTTTGGTGAATGGCTCCAAATTGTCTTCAACGGAGAATCTCCAGACTGACTAGCGAGTGAAATCTTGAAAGCTCATGAGATCAGGATGGTCTCACAAGGCTAATGGGCACCAGCTGTAATTAGATTTTTATTATCCATTTGCAGACATCCCTGTGTTGCCATGCATTTAAAGGTATAATGGAGGATTTCTGCTCTCCATTTAAAAAAGATACACATGCACAACCCTGTACCCCCTACTGAGAGGGAACCCCTATTAAACATGTGCAAGAGCATGCATTTCTCCTCGTGCACGCTCTGTTTAAAAGTTGCTGTTTGCATTGCTCATACAAGCTTACTTTCCAAAAGAAGTTTTGCAATTTTTCCACTAAGTCAGACTCACCACCAGTAAGGGGACGAGCACGTAGGATGGCCTTATGTAAACATATCACCAGAATGATTGACAGTTAGGAGGACCACTTATTTAGATGATCCACCTGGAAATAAAAGGTCGTCCTCTATACATTTAGGTTCATGTATAAGTGCGGGACTTAAAATAATCCAAGAACCGCCAAAGTGAGCAGGACATTTAGTACCTGAATCATTTTGGAAGGTAAAATCCTTTTTTTTTTTTGTAGCTGCAAAACTAAAGTTAAAGAACTGAAAGGATGGTTTGATTTAAAGGTAACAAATGGAAGTGGGCAGAGCGGAAATGTCAAACTGCTGCACGTTACAATGGTTCATCCTGCCTCATCATTAAAGCTTTGACTCAGAGTTGCCTTTTCTCCCACTTCCATATATGATGTATAAGCGGAGCGGGACATGAGTCAGAACGCAGCTGTCTGATCTGGTGTGCTTATTGGCTTTGTGTTTCAGATCCAACGTCAACTACACCCCTCCACCCCAAGAAGTAAGTGTCTTCCTCCCCCCCTGCTTCTCTCCTGCATAGATTCCTTCCGATTCTGTCGCCCACGCTATATAAATTATTTGATTTTTCTATCCTTTTCAGCCCCAGGATTTCAAACACACACAATCATTCATGCTCTGAGGAGCCGCCTCTCCTTCAACGGACAGTAACCTCCCCCTCCTCCTCCTCCCACATGAGGTGCCAACTACAGATTCGGATCTTTCCCTGCTTTTTGAGTCCAATCAACCTTTTAATCTTCCAGAAAAATCCCCCTTTTTTGTTCTTTTCTTTGGTAAAGTATTATCTTTTACCCATCAACATCCATTGCTCTTATGGGACTAAATGCAGCCTTTTGTTACTCTGCTGCCCCCTACTGGTTAGAGCTTGAAAGTGATTTTTTTTTTTTAGTAACCAAAGACTGAGGTTGAATTCAAGTGACTTTTGTTTTGTTTAAGAAACTGAATCTAAGGGGAATCTTCTGAAGCCATACTGAATCTTTTCAGTTGTTCCCCGACTGCTCAGACTTACAGCTTACCTCCAAGTCTATATTCTGTCTTCCGTCTCAGGCCCTAACAGTCAACCCCCCCGCCCTGCCCAGTAATATCAGGAGGAAGAATCCAACTCATTGAACTTGAATCCAACCCCGTTCCATCCTGATGTGCCTGCATGGTCTTCTTTTATAAATGTAAACATCTATCTACAGTATACCTTGTGCCTTTTTAATTTGACTGTCATATCTATCTCGGGATCACACTGTTTTGTAAACAGACTTGCCTTACTTTTCTGTCTTTATATATTCTTGTGCCACTGTTTATTGAATGCAAGTGGATGACTTGAGAGTTTTATTTGAATGGTGGATCAATAAAGGTTTTTTCTATGAAATATTTCTGACAAGATCACTTTTTCTTCAGGAAGCAAAGTAAAATATAAAGAGCGGCTGCTCAGAAAGCACAACTACACCATCTTTTAAGAGATTCTCCTCGCAGGGATCGCTTTGGTTAAATACGTCCTGGACCTGCTCGTACTTCTGGATGCAGCTTCCACATATCAGTCTCAAAGCATGGCTGCACAATACTAAAAATGTAAGCACTGGGTCAAATAAAAAACAGCATTTCCGCAGCTATTTTAAGCTTCAAACAGTCATCCTGGAGAGACTTAAATGCATCTCTGACCTTGTCATAATGTGGCACTCTCAAGACTAATTCAGAGTGACAGCCAATTTCTATCTAGGTCACCAGACATTTGGCTCACTGTAAATTCAGCCAGTTTTAGTTTTGAACGTTTGACCATAAACCAAGGCTGTTCGCTTTTTTCTTCTAAATCTATTTAAAGGAGAAATTATACTTGGAAATCAAAAATGAGGCTCAAGTTTTATTTCTGATTTTACCATTAAAAGCATTTTTCAAAGTATTCATACCCCTGTAATTTTCCCTTTTTCATTCTACCCCGTAAAAAAAAAAAAAGCTGAGATTTTAAACGATAAACAGTGAAGCATAATGGTGCTAAATATAGCTCTCTATATTTAGCATCTTTACTCCGACACCCCTTTATAAACAAACACAACTGATGTCCTCAGAGTCCACCTGTACGTCGTTTATTCAGCTCTTCAGTAAAACCTGAGACAGGTTATATAAAGATGTGGAGAAATATTCAACTTTTCCTTCATTGACTTGACTGAGATGCTAGAAAACATCTAAAAAGGTGGGGAAAATCTATTTTAATAGAGCTAATATAGAGCCTACATCATACAAAATGAATTTTGAGCTTTTAGTTATGCAATAAGTCCTTTAACAAGTGGTATTTTATCCAATTCATGCATTTCTGAGCGTGATTATTGCTGCTGCATGTTGAGACAAAGCAGCTCTTTTATCAGCCAATCTGCACAGTGACAGCAACTGTTTTAGCTAATGTCTTTAACCTTAAAATATTTTGGCTGCAAAATATCTCTGTACTTGTTCAGCCTTCCTAAAGAAGAGTAATACATTAATGTTATCAAGGATGATATAGAACCTTTAAATGATTCAAATCAGGGGAAATTAATGCATTTGAAAGGTCTAGTCAAAGCCCATACTCAGACTATCCGATCTGCTAGGGGCTTAGCTGGGTAGCAAACCAAAAATATATATTTAATTGAGAAAAAGCTTTGTTTCGATTAGTCACATCCATTTATGATTTAAACATCTAATTGATCAACTAAATGATTAAATAATTTTGTTAGACTTTTGCAAAATTATTAATGATTTTGTGCTTTATTTAAAACAAAGGTTTACAAATTTTCCACCTGTCTGCTTGAAGCAATTGAGTCAAAGCACAGTGTCAAAATCCAAGGAAAATAACATCCAGATCCTCATCTTTCACTCCACGCTTTTATTAAATACAACATATTTCTGACATGTAGGAGATCTGCAACATGCACGTCCTTCACTTGGCGCCTTCGTCAAGTTTTGGCTCTGTGGGGTCATAAAAAAAAAGAAAAGGAGTTAAACACTACAAACTGTCGACATTTATTATAGAAAACAATGTAGGCCTGAAGCTGAAAGGGAAAAAAAAAAAAAAAAATCCCCCATCATCCTCATCTTCCTTTCTAACTGTCACCATCTTTTCTATTTTTAGACACGCACAAAGAAGAGAATGACATCTATTCAGAGGCATAAATATTCATGGGGAGAAAAAAAAAAAAAAAAAAAAATCAAAATAATCTCACGTTCCAACATCACTCCGAGGCTGCAGCCATTTTTATTAGCTGAAATTAATTGTAGAAATAAACTGCTGGCTTCTCCATATTTGCCCTCTAGGGACACAATAAAGCACTTTACTTAATCAGAGGGATAAATCAAGGCTGCGTGAGGAAGGAAGGTTCACTTAAACTTTCATACTTTGGCCGTTACATAAATAACTGGGAGCTACGCCACACTGTCTGGGTTACTCTGTCCTTCAGGAAGACACTGACCTCCTAGATTATCTGATTGCTCTATAAACTGTACATTACGTGATCTAAAGAATAAAAAAAACAAACTGACCGGGGAATTTGAAGTCTGGGAACTTGGTGAGGTCTCCTCCTCCGTATAGCCTCTGCAGCTTGGCGACCTCGTCGGACATGTTCTTCTGGTAAGCAGGACCTGCATCCACGATGCCTCCAGCAGCCCTGGGAGAGCCGAGGAACAGATATGGTGGACGGCGTGCCGTTAGAAAAGCCAGCAAATAAAGCTGCACAATCATGCTACAAGTGAACGTTTTAGCTCAAAATCTCTCTACTAAATGTCAGAGGAGAAGAAAGACTGACTTGCTCTTGCTGTTGTAGTCCCTGATCTTATCCAGGAACAGCTTCTGCACGGGGTCGAGCTCCTTGGCCTTGTTGAAGACCACCGCAGAGATGCCGATGTTCCTACGCAGCGTGAGGCTCAGCGCGGAGCGCAGCACGGAGGAGAGCTGGAATAACCGGTGGAGCGACATCTGGAGGGACAAGCAGAGGCTAAAACACTTAGAGCCATTTCAACACGATTCAAACCACAATCAATGATTCTCGCCGTAAAGACGACCAAGAAGGGGCCTTTTCCTGGAATAGTTTTCAATCACCCATCTGTTCCCCGCTTCCATCATGACTTACAGTGCCTTATATCTGACCTATAGACAGCTTTCAAACCATTCAGTTTTTGTTTTTTTTTAGTTCATCCCCATAATATCCTGCAGACATGATGATTTTAATCTGCTATGAACAAATCAAAAGCGCTGGGATATAATCCCATCTGAAGGATGGAAGATGCTCACCACAATAGACCTCAAAGTTAAAAACATGTTTAAAGCTGCCTTTGACTGTTATGCATTAATGGTTTATTGTTTATGGTCCAACCATTTTGTTTGACCATCTGCTTTCATCGTTTTATTTTTCTTCTATTTTCATGTAAAGCACTTTAAAATGTCCTTATACTGAATTGTGCTATAAAAATAAACCTTCCTTGAGCTTGTTTGAAGCCCGCTGTATCAACATGCAATGAAACAAACATCTAATCTTTGCTATTAACCACTTGTTTTAGGTAACAGCTGTTTCCAATCCTGTTTATTGCTGAAGGTGAAACAGGTCAAACATGCAATGTTTTGTTTTTAATATATTAAGAGCATGCCCTGATAGTCGAACCTTCATGAAAACCAGTTATAAAAGCTAATGTGTTGTAGATCTAAGATGTAGCTGTTCCCATCATCAATCCTGTGCTTGAGAAGAGTAGGATGAAGGTAAGACAGAGGGAAGAAGGCAAGGAGAGAAAAGCAAAGATGCACTGAAGACAAAGCAGTCGAGAAATAACATGAAGCAAAGAATCTAGAGTACAAATAAATATTTTCCTAAAAAAAAAAAAAATGTTAGATCCATGAGTACAAGTCATCTATCTCATCCTGTCGTTCTCTATTCAAGTCCTTTAATGAATAAATAAGCACATACTTGAGTTTTAGCTCATAAATATTTGAAATAAAAAAACCTTACGGAAATTATTTAGACCAAAAACAAGATTTCATTACTTTAATAAAAACAGTTTTCTTTCAATATCACAGTGGATCCATCTCTCTAGGATGCTTATAATAGAATAACCAAAAAGGTTTACAGGAAATGTCCAATAATTTTAACTGACTTCTTAAACGTGACAATGAATTTGCTGTGAACCACTGGCTTTTAAAAGTGACCAGTACTCAGTCTAAATGAGACCTGTAAGGATGCAGTATAAAAGGAAATTCACACCTCATAGGTTAAAAAGCTGCAAAAGCTGCCGAATATTGTCATATCAGTATGGAACAACTTGCTGGATTAGCATCTTAAGTTCAAGTACCTTTAAAATACCCTAAAACAAAGTTATTTTTCAGCAGGTCGCTCCCCATTATTTAGAGCCATTTCATTCAAAATTAAAGAAAGAATATTGCTATTAAACATTTGGAGTTTTCCTCAATTTTTGAAATTTTAAGGAGGCAAACCGGATTAATAAATAAAAAATAATGCAATTGTTTGGATGCAAATATAAAGCATGAGTGGGACTGCAACAATTAACCTTAAAAATTAAAGCAATGACAAGGACATAAGGCAAGAAAGGAGTATGAAGCTACAAATACAGCAGTTTAACAATAAAACTGCAGTAGCATTCTTCCCCAACGTCGAGCAGACCTATCCTGAAATAAAACTAGGCAAGAACAATATTAGAAAATTATGTGATTGAACAAAAACGAGAGCAAAAAAGTGTGAGCTAATCCATCCATTTTTATTCTAAAGAGAAACCAAAGTCACACAGCTGCTAGAGTTAAAACTAATTTTTCCAAAGGTAAAATAATAGCATCACATTAACTGTGATTCTAATAAAGGAAATAACATTTAAAAAATATGTTTTTTTTTCCAAACTGTTAAATTGGGTAGAGATTTTCAAATTCTCTTAAGAAAATTATATTCTATTTTTTTAGAGCGTAAATGAATATAAACAAGCTGACATTAGCAGAAGTATAGCCTGCAGTTGCCTTGCTGGCAAAGGATGACAGATCTTTCAGCAACTAGAAAATGTAAATATAATAAATATAAAGCACCACTGAAGTAATGAAAGGTTTTGGAGGTGCCCTTAAGCCAGCTGACTGTAAGCTTCAAGCAACAGGTGGTGGAGGGGCAGGATTCTACATCTGTATTATACAGCATATATGTTAGCTTCAGTAAACTTCAGTAAACTTCCTCCTAATATCAAAAGGAAACGTTTCAGTTTCTGACTCACAACATTCAATTTTCCACAGGAGAAATATTACAGGGTACAATTAGTTCGATTTGTCCATTTTAAGTGGTGCTTTTTATAATTAAACACTTTCACATGAATATTTATTGATTGGTTTAATTTCTGTGTTGAAGCAATACCCCATAATGGTTGATCAAGGGACTCAAATTGGGTCATGAGCCTACCTTTGAGAATCTATGCTTTAATTTAAAACTTTAAGGCTCTGCAAGTCTAGGATGTTTCCAAATGTTCACAATATCGATATAAACTCTTTATTGGGCAAGTTATGGTTTATGATCCCTTACGAATGGAACCCCCCCTTCCCTCAGTGAGGCCTAGAAGCAAAAGATCTACATCAGACATTCAGCAAACATACCGCTACATGGCTGTACATCTAATTTTGGAATTTGACCAATTAGATGAGCCCTTGAATGATATCTTACCTACTGTAAATAAAGTTGAACAGAAAAGTCAAGAAAAAAAAGGTAAAAGGCTAATTAAAAAGTTAATAAGCCTAGTTAACAATTATATTTAAGTTAATAAACTAAAAAAATGTAAGTGCCAGTATCAGTATTAATGCCTCTAATGTTATGTTGTACCAACATTTTTTTTTTTTATTTTACTCCCAAGATTGTTTTTCATGAAATTCTTATAGAAGCACTTTTGTTATTTTTCTTCATATTTGTGCAAGTTGGTGTTTGTTATTACATTGACATTAATGTTACAAAGGTAAATAAGATCTTGTACTGGATTCCAATAACACTATTTCACCGAGTGCCCTATAAAGGGTTAATTGATGGAAGATTAACAGGTGTTTATGAACTGTAATCATCTAAATCAGGTGTCTTGAAGGAGGTGTGAAAAACACAGCTTTAGAACACAGGGTGACCTTACTGTGCCTGCTTCATGACAACAAAACTTCATTTTTAAACGCTGCGGACCTTTACATTCCTACCTTAAAACCTCTTTATCTTAAAAAAAAAAGAAAAAACAGTTTCCAAATTTTTTAAACAAAAGACAAAGGGTAAGGGTGCGCAGATGAACTAATATCAAAGTAGTTGCAGCTAGCTTTAGCCTTAGCAGCTAGCTTCTGCCTTAGCAACTAGCTTCAGCTTTAGCAACAGCTAGCCCAGATAAGTCCAAACGTTGTGACCAGAATTACATTAAATGGTCCTTAAAACTCAAGCTAAAATATCAGTGAAGCTATTAAGACTCGTCTGCATTTAGGTTGTCGTTTAACTCATCCTAACGGCCATATTCCAGCAGCTAACTGATTAAGCTTAGCTAAAGGAGCTAAGCCAAACACCTCATAGCTATCAAACATTCCCTTTCAGTTCGTTATTTGATGTAAAACTGTGAGTAATCCCGCGGTTCTAGTTTAATGCACGCGACCAGGACACAAAACAAGCCAAAAAGAGCGTGAAACGGCGTGTATGTTAATGATAGTTTGATCATTTAAAGTCTAACTCACCTTGGGCTTGACACTCAGAGCTCAAATGTGGAAGACCGCGGTGGATTGTGGGAATTAAAAAGGTTTTTAATAAAAGGCAATACTGCCCCCTACTGGCAGTGTTTAGTTCTTACAAATTACGTTGCTCTAAAGGTGTAACCAAGCTATAATTAAAATATATTTCAATAAACTGGATTTTTATTATTTTATTAATAATTGGACAGATTGTTTTCCTCATGCTGCTCATCTTAAATCATTTTCTGTTCCGATAGTTTTTTGCCAGTGTAACACCTGGATTTTCCCCTCTGGGACAATATTTTATTCTATAATTACGTATTATAACCTTGATTTTGTTGCAGCGTTGCTTTCTGGCTCTAATTCTTTTAATCCTACAGATGAGAGCTGAATTCAAGGTGTGTTTGTCCAAAGAGACAGTTATAATACCTCGTTTCTCCTCTAAATATCGCAACAGTGTTGGTAAAATAAAAGGATAAATCATAATTACAGGATGTTTTTACCCTTTTTAAATGTCATAACCTCATAATCTTATATAATAGGATTTATAAAAAATATCATCTCAGTAACCTGTGAACATCAATTTCAATATTTTACTTTAAATTCTCAATAGAGTCAAACATGCACAAACCCTCCCACTTTTGACCAACAGCTGTTTCTGCACCTCAGGTACATCCTTACCTGACAGCCATTAAGGAAGAGCTGAAGAGATGGAACCAGATAAGGTGATGAGCACGCATTCAAAAAAAGTAACCAATTACAGATCAGGGAACTTCTGAAGGCACTAAACGGATCTGGGTTTATAAAGATCATTAAAAAGGAAAAATAGATGCCCTTTTTGTGTATAGATCTCTATTTCTAGACTAGCTGCTCTCTTTTGGTCCATCTCACTGAAATCTGTAGCTGCAGGCGATATAACTTCAGCTTCACATGAGAAAATAAAAAAGACTGTTTTTATGTACATTCAAAACTTTATTATGGAATACAGTGTAGAAAGCATTGTCCCAGTCGATGCAAATGGCCTGCACAATATTACACGGTGGAAAAGAAAATATATACCCCACAGAAAGAAAAAAAAAAAAATCCATCTTCTATTCTACTGAGAACCCCCTGAAACCACAAACTTATCCAACTGTATCTCTAAAATATACATTTCACCCAGTATTTCATTCATCAGATCTATACAAGTGAGAGGTTCCACTGTAGCTCTTTACAAGTGTTGATTTTTTTTGTATTTTCTTCCTGCCTTTACAGTCTCCTCCATCCTACAGTCACTTCTTGATGGTAAACGCCCTTATATCTCTATGTCAGAGAGGTGAGCAGCACGCCTGGAGGAAAGGAAAGGCGAGGAAGGGAGGGGAGGTGCAGCGGGAAGTGAGAATCCATTATATACACAGACTGCCTGGCTGGCTGGTTATCCATCTGGAACTGCAAGTCATTTCCTCTGCCTCCCCCTCCTCCTCCTCTTAGCACTCTTAAAGCAAATCTATGAGACAGCATTGGCTTATAGGTGGACAAACACTTGATTGGAAGGTAACATCAGGGTTCCTCCACATTTTTTAGGTCTAAGTTCCAGAATTTTCTCCAGATGTAGCTTTCCAGATGCAAGCATAAAAATATCAACAGAAACATATGAAAAATGTTAAAGAGTGCAGGCTTGACAAATGTACTCTGCAAAAAAAAAACAACAAAGAAAACAGAGGGAAGGACAGCAGGATTGAGGGACACGTTAGCCCAATCCCAAACCGGCTCCTAAACACTAACCTTCCTTTTGCGTGTTCATACATAGGGTGCAGCACATTCAAGACCGTACCGAACCCTTAAATAGCGAGTCTGCATCAGTGCAGGCTTGCTGGAATTTGACCGCGTTCGTAAGGGCGACCTAATGGCGAAGGTAACATGTTTCCTCCAAATGCAAGTTCCACTGGTTTGCTGCATCTTCGTCACACTGAAAGAAAATCTCAAGTTACATGAAAAAAAAACGTAATTTATTCCAAAACGGAAGGTCCTCTTTGAAATAGTTTTATTTCACTGTATACATTTGTTTTCAAATATGGGCGAATGGGGCGTCCCTGTGTTGCCATAGCAACGACTGTTTTCCCTTCCCGTTGGAGGGAAGAAGAAGCGGCCCCTTTCTCATTTATAAGACGATCTTCAATCAAGGTGCCTTCCTCATCTGTGAGTGAGACTTAATAGGGACACTTGATAGTTAAGGGTTAGTGCTTAGGGAGGGCGGTTTGGTATTCAGCCATTTTTTTTTTTCCAAACTGTGTAGGAACCCTGCAACACAGAGACATGGAAACAACCCTAACCTGCTGCTCAAAGCATCCATATAACCAGAAATCAGTCTGTGATCAGGAGCGTCTTCAGAACGCCGCCACACATGAGAGTTTTTAACAGGGATGAACATTAAATATCTCCTTCAATCAGGAAGAGGTGGAGCAACTTAAAGAGGAAAGAAAAAAATAACATTTTTTTACATGAGATCAAGGCCGATCATCTAGATTTCTAAATATATTTTTTCATTCTTGTTTGATGTCACGTGATCACGGTTGGATGCTAAATGTACAATCTCGCTAGGATGACAATCAATGTGTGAGGAAGGACCTCTGGAGATAGAGAGCAGCGTTTAAGATCCTGTTCATTTTTTTTTGTTTGTTTTCTCCAAATCCTGTCATCATGCACACTACATAAGGAACAGCTAAGACTTCAGCATTACTTCAGCAACATTACACGCAATAATAATAAAAAAAAAAATGACTTTACATCAGTTTACTTTTTTTTTATACAGTTTTCAATCTTTTTTGAAAAAAAAAAGAAAAAAAGTGGAATCAATAAAAATAAAACAGCTCCTTAAGAACACATAACGACTACTGCTGCTGTCAAAATGATCGTTATCGCCAGCTTCTTTCGCGATGTCCTTAAGAGCCTGATGTGGCCCAACACAGCCCAGCTGTTGTATGAAAGGGAGGGTGGATGGAGGGAGGGAGGAGACAGAGAGGGGAGGAGACACTCACTGGTTCACCATTGTAGATTGTAGGGGGAGGGCAGCGTTTAAACTTTATCATTACCACCTTATTTGCAGAATGGAAACAGATGATCGGATTTGTCAGAATTGTGTGATGAGGGGAGGGTCAGGTTACCCTGCTGCTGATCAGAGTGGACAGTGTGCTTTTCTTCCTCCCTAAAGAACAACGGTTAGCTGTTTTCTTTCATAAGAAAATAAGGGTCAGGAAACTACTATCCCAGTCGCTCAGTGATCGCTGCCTCAAGGAGACATGGGGAGGCTGGCTGAGGGGAGGAAAATAAGGGAGGAAGGATAGATGTAAAGGGGGAGGGGGGGAGATGATGGTGTGTTGATGCGAGTGTGTGGAAGGTGATTTTCTCCTCAGTTCTGCATCTGTTCAAAGAACTTGTAGGTGGGGTTCTCGTAGCCGTTCTGCTGCATCTTGGACAGGTGGCGCTCCTCAGGAGTGACTGCGGCGTCCACCTGGAATGGAGGGAGGGAGGGAGGTTAGACATGAACGGACAAAAACACTCCTGTGGTGGAGGTCCATATGGAGAAACGGAGAAAAAAAAAGAACACATTCTGGAAATTAAGAGGCTGATTCTGAAGACAAATGAATGAAAACAAAGGAGACTGATTCATGTTTTAATCTTCCTGCTAATGGACTTTCATAGCTGATAAATGGAGCTAATTAAAAATATGAAAGCAGCAAATTAAATGCTTGAAAGGCATTAATCCGCTGATTTTAATTTGAGCTCCAACAAGTTTCCTTTTCAAACTTTAGATTTGGTGACTCAGTCGTTTTTTTTATTTTTATTTTTTATTATTATCTGGACAAAACTACATAATTAAATCTATAATATGGAAAAGTATTGTTCGGATAAGGATCTCTAAATCTAGATCATTCAGTGGCAGCTTCTGTTAAATTCTTTTTACAAACCTTTTTATACAAAATTAAGAATTTTTCCACCCTTACCCAGAAATGCAAAATAAGAATTATGATTTTCAATCAGTCGTAACCTTGAAGTAGAAATAAACAGTAAATCACAACACCTGAGGCCATCTTGAATGCCATATTCCATAGGATTTAATATCTCAAAGGTTTTGGATTAACACTGATTCCCAGGAGCATATTTGGGGACCTGGAAGCATTTGATTAGACGTTTTATACATAATGGTAAGGTTAAGGCCAAAACACAACAAATCCCATTTTGCATCCGATCCGACAGAAAATCATGAGTTTGTGGCGTTTGGCGCTAATTGAAAGTCAATGGGAATGATCAGACCCAACAAGATTTTATGTAAGGGAGCTTGCATAGGTCCGACTGAGAGAGAGCCCAGGTTTATTTTAGTCGGACTTTGCACCAACTCAGCAGTAATTTCACAGGTCTGACAGCAAGAGAGACGCTGTTACAAAGTAAAACACATCTGCCTTGGGGAAAAATTCAAAAAAAAAAAAAAGTGTTAATAACACAGGGAAAGACTCAGTTTTGGAGATTGCACATTGTGCAAAAACAATGAATTAAACATTAAATAATACTTTATCCATTTTCTGTCCTACTGAACTCATATTCTCTTTGAGCCTAGAAAAAGGGAAAAAAAAAAAATGGTAAAATAGTGATCCTCTTTGAGAGTCACAAAACAAAATAATAAGGGGCAGACAGCAGGTAAACGTTTCAACTCTGTATGAAAAACGAAAGAAAAATTTCGATAAACGTCACAGATCTCTGTCTTGGAATCACCTCTCTGCTTCAGTCAGCATATAAACTTGTGCCGCTGCATTTATTTCTGTGTTTTCCTTTTCCCTAGATGTAGATCTAATTATGTTTTTAATACAGGCATATGAACCTTCTCCATCTGATCTAGTTTGAGATGCGGCACAGACTCATTAAGTGCTTTCATAATCTGTCCAAGTCAAATGCAGGAAATTGTTTTATATTGTGTATAGCAGAGAGACAGAAGTAAAAAAAAAAAAAACTGTGCAGATCTGCCAGCCCTGCTTAGTCGTAAACCTCCCTCTACGCATTCAGTGTGACATGGGGAAAAAAAATGGGATCGGAGATCATAAAGTCGTACACAACAACCGCTGTGTTCAGGGGAAACAACAGCTATGAAAATGTGGCTAATGGTAGTATTCTACATTATTGTTGTCATTTCTACATTTGGTTTGATTTCTATTACTAACACAACTTACATTGACTGCTAATAGGGCCGGCTTATACATGTGCATCATCATTCATATACAGAATACAGCAAATACAAAGCATGTTTAAATGCTTCCAAATCATCCATTTATTCTATATATTAATTACTAAAAATTAATACATAAAGCCAGGGATCAATTTTCCACTGTCTTACAGCCGCCATCTTTTTTATTTTTTTATTTATTTGTTATTAAATGTCAGTATAATACTGGATTCAACATGCTGTATAACAGTACAGCTATGTAATTCAGATTACCGCTAAAAAATTGCTACCTTGTAGCAGGAGAAGCCCACTTTTTCTTCTACTCCTCTCACCTCAATGACTCCGTGATGGATGGAGGTGTACTGCTTCTTCCTCAGCATCACCAGGGTGATGACAATCACCGTTGCTATGACGACGCCTCCGACCATAAGGCCGATGATGGCGCCCTTGTTGGAGCTGACGTCCTCGGCTAAGAAGACCTGCGGGAGTTAAAGGACAGATGGTGGTTAGGTCAAAACATAAGATGAGAGTGAAATTAACCAAGCAGGCTCCATGTTTGTCGTCATGTTTTCTAAAACGAGGAGTGAAATTTGAGAATGAGCTGGAGAACTTTATAAAGAAGATGGTGAAGATATTACTTTCATAGATAATATTCATTCCCTTCCTGTAGCGGCTGGATGATTTACCCCAGGCTGGGTGCAACGTAAGGAAGCGGCGATGCAGAACATACACATACATTTACCAAACAACAAAAAGAGAAGGAATTGCTGTTTTTCTCTGCCTTTCTTAAGGAAGGAAGATGACACAATGTAGAGGAACAGACAGCATGATGAGAAAATCTAATAGAAACCAAAAAACAGCAGATAAACTAATGAGCTGTGACTTCCCTCTGGTTGCTCCTGGTGCATGCAGGAAATGTGATAATAACAAGGCAGGATTATGGGATTACAGTCTTAAGGTGAGTAAAGTACGTGGATTTGGCGGAGAATGGGCTGGTATTAAAACGCTGCAGGAGATTACAGATGGAGAGCAGAAACGATTCTATAATCTTTGGCAAAACAGCAGCTGCAGACACCATCAAACTTCACTGATAAAAACTGTGACGCATGCATTATTCCGGCTGGCTGTATGAGCACCAACTCGTCTCCATGGTGACAACCTTGAGAGTTTACCTGGAGGACAACGTGGAGAACGGTAGGATTCATGCTAATTAACATGCTAGAAAGTCCGGGTCAAGAAAAAATCTGTTCGGTATGAGGAGGAGCGTCGGTGTTTACCAGCTTCTGGTGGTGAACTTCATATTGGGTACCCTGTGTGTCCTCCGTCTCCTTCCGCAGCTCAGGAATAGCTTCCATCTTCATTCCAGGCACTAGCATAAGAAAAACACTATCTATTACAGCCTGAAACACATAAGTTTAGCTACGAACAGTGTAACATTCACTCATAAAAGCAGGTTAACCTTTTCAAAGGTGGATTATTAAGAAATGTAGCTGCTCCTTTTTCTGATGGACTAGCAGGTATGAATTTAAATCTGTAATTAAACTAATTTTTGTTTTTAGACAGGAAATCACATCTATATATTTGGGAAAAACAAATCCAAGGCTATACTATCTGACATTCTGCATAGATATATTTAACTTAGAATGTATATTGTCAACTAAAATTTCTCACACAAATATTAGTCTTTTAGGAGAAATTGCACACATGGTTAAAAGGAGTTAAAGCAACTTTTAGAGAACAAATGCATTATGGGAGTTTCAGGAATTTGGATTTCCTAGGAAGCAAGATGAACAACAATACGTTGCTGCTGTTCAATGGTTGCAAATCGAGCGACATATTGGACTCTTTTCTCCCATTACTTTAATGTTTTTCTATATAACCTTGCAACCATCGAGCAGGTGTAACATGGAAATGCTCAGCTTTTTTTATGGATTTAAGGCCACACATAGCATTGTTTTAAACAGCACTTTTCTGTAATCACCCTCTTTCTCTATGTTCTGCTGGTTGAAGCTCTCAGGGTGGACGAAGCCGACTCCTCCCAGGCCCAGAGTGTCCTCCTGGGGCAGCAGGTCAGTCTGGCCGTCTCCAAACTCCTGGTCGGGCATCAGGGCGTCGTTACCGTAGCTCACACGGGCGTCTGTCTGCAGGTTGGCCAGCTGCTGGGCCATCTCGGCCTGCTCCCTCTGGAGGAGCTCTGCAACGTTACAGCAGATCAGGTTGGAAAAGCTTTGCTAAATTAAGCTTGAATGAGAGATAAATTTGTCATCTATTGCAGCTTACTGACACAAATGTTCCCATTTTATAAACACGCATGACTCTGAGATAGCACTTATTTTTGATTTGAGTTGTGCTGGGCAGCACAGAGAGCGACAGCCTCTGAGACAGACCCGCAGATGGCCGAATGACGCGCGCGACGCAGATAAACCCAGAAGTCCACAGAAACCTTGCAAGTTCAGTGGCCAGAGGGAGGAAAGAGGATTTATCTTCTCAGCGAACAGTTTCATTTGAGCCTGAATAGAAGAATTAGGCCAAACGGCCTTATCAGAACGGAGAGTTATAAAAAAAAAAAAAAAAAAAAAACATTTACTGGGGACTGGAACTCAGCATTTAATCTCCGTTACGCATAACACAATCAAGGCATTGAGCTTTTCACAGTATCCGCCCACATTTAGGTCAGCACTAACAAAGAGTATGAGAGATTAATATCCAAAGCTCAAAGATAAGGGTTGGATTTCTGCTGATGCAGCCAAATCCCCCAAAATTTGTGTTTTATTTCTGTCTAGATTTAGCAATGCCTTAAAACAAAAAGTTTAAACTTCAGCATATTTTACTTGGGTGTAGCAGCATGGCAGCGGCAGAGTCATGCTGTGGGGATGCTTTCCTGGCAGTGAAACCTACCAACTTGGTCTTGGATGTCATCAGCCACACCTGGCACTTTGTAGAGAAGACCCAGAGACTGGTTCATGCGCTCTTCAATGACGCGCAGGTGAGTAAGAACCTAAAGCACCGACGCAGAAACAGATTGTTGGAAACTAAAGACATGAGTAGGGAGTTCTGCATTTCAGACGGCAGCAAATCACCTGAGGTCTAATCTGAGCAGCCTTCTTTGGATCCACCATGCGGACGTGTTCGAAGTGTTTCAGAGTGTGCTGCCTGTCCTTCTGCTCGGCGCGGACGTACTTCTTCAGCAGACTGAAGACGTGACGGGGCTGTAAAAGACAATGAGAGGACGGATGCATGGGAATTATTCATGCAACGGAGAGTCTTCAAACAGAACAAAACATCAAAAGGAACGTTTTGATCTGAAGCGTTTGCGTACGGTGAGCGGTGCTGCTTACCCTGGGTGGGTCCTGTTGCAGGGCGGTCAGGTAGCTCTCCAAAGCCAGGCGGCGGCGGTCGTTGAGGAGAGCCTCCACCCGGGCCATATGGGTCTCCACCAGCTGCTGACGCTCACTGGTTGCCTCCTGCTCCAGAGCCTCCACCTTCTCCTGGAAGCGCTGCGCAGAGACACCAAATCCCATTGAAAGAAATCCGCACTAAACTAAAACCAGGTATGTGAGATGTTAGCTTGGTTTCCAATGGTCCTACTTGAATCACAGCCTTCTTGTCGGCACGTGGAAGGTTCTTAGCCTCCCTCTCAGCTTCTTCCCATTCCCTCATAACCTGAACACAAACACAGGAAGCAAAAAAATGTATTTAATCTGGTTATGTGCTTCCTTTTCAGTCCCCATAAGGCTTTTTGAAAGCCTGATCAAGGTAAAGTTAACAGGGTTTAATAAACATTTTTCAAAAAATTGGAGAATTTTTTAGCCTATAAATTTGAAATCCTTAAAAATCAAAAGAACCCTAAGGAAAGGAAGGAGCTAATGATGGATCAACGAGTCGATCTCTCTACAGAAGTGTTTTCAGATTCTTCCTCCGTATTCCCTACATCTGACTCACTGCCTGGACTCTTTTGCTTCACTTTCCCAAAGCAAATCCTCAGCTAAGAGAGAAAGCGCTGCGCCAGAGGCTCCTCTCTCACAATAAGCAGAATTAACTAGAGCTATAAAAAGGTTATAGCTGTTCTTGTGTGAAGTTTTACAAACGGAGGTTGAAGTGGACCATCTGGAGCTCCGTCTGACAGCGAGACGGTTGAAGGGAAAAGGCAATTAAGTAGAAATGCCTCAGTCGGTTCACCTGGGAGCATTTTTTAAACAAATCGTTCAGATTCTTTTCTTTAACCTTTTTACTCTCTATTTCATAAGCAACAGTTTCTCTTTATGTAGCATCAAAGACAAATTGAGCCATTAATTGACCCCTTCCAGTACCTGGGACATCCTATCACGGTGCTTGGCCTCCAGACTCTCCTTGGCTTTCTGGAAGTGGGCGTGTTCATTCTCATCGGCGGGCGTCTCTAGATAGTGGTCCACTGCATCGGGGGAGCTGGGCGTGGCCGTGGGCACTGCAACACACATCGAAAGAGAGAGAAGAAGAAACCCTGGCGGTGAGAAGATGTTTCAGAGCTGGGGTAATGGGATTGGCAGTGTTGCCTTACAAATACAGACATCCAAAAAGGGGTTAATAAGCTTAGCGTGAGCAGAAAGAAAGAAGAAAAAAAAAGATAGCAGCTGTAGCTTGAAGCCAGGACCTTTAAACGGTGGATAAATACATTAGATCACCCATAATGCATTGCAGGAAAGAGACAAAACATCTCCCTTAATTATATAACTTCACCCAGAGTATGCTGGCGCTTTGCTGCAATAACTCCCAACGCAGGAAATCATCCGGCCTGCCCAGGCGCGAGGAGTAAATTGGACGAGTTAAAGCGTTAAAGTTTAATCAGAGAAAAGCTGATCATCTATCAGATGCGCATTCGCAATCCGCGTGCAAGTGCAGGCGTGAAGGTCGCACATCATGTGAAATTGGTCACGTCTAACGAGCGCATGACTGCACAGACCAGAAAAAATAAAAATACCAGAGGGATGTGACTCACTGACCCGAGCAGTGAGAGCAGCGCTTTCTTGGTTTCAGTTGGAAGGAAAGCATCTGGTCGGACTTTGTTCCTTAATATGTTTCTTCTAATCAGCCGTAAAATCTCTTTTGGGGGCAGAATGGGGCCAAAACCGGCTTCTGTCCAACTCCCATCGTTCCCAAAAGAAGAATGTATTTCTTGTCGCTTGAATAAAAAAAGCATATAAAAAAAAAAGGTGTTGCGTTGTCGAGACAACAGCTCAAACAGGGCAACAGAAACGGATTTATTAATAACGGCAAACTTCGAAAAGGCCGACTCTAAAGGGGGAAGTTAAAGGAGCTATTTTGGATGTGCATCAGAAGGCAAAAAGCCCCAAAATATTCACACATTTCACCAGGAGGAATTTGTTCTGTAGCAACATGAAGGCAGTGGAGGTTAGTTTAGGGAGAGTTATTCATCCAACGGTGTCATGATGATGGTGACAGTATCATGCTGGGGGATTAATTTCTTTAACCAGAGCAGAGAGAATCATCAGGGCTCCTCTTCCCTCCATTAAGGACATTTCATCCGAGCGTTGCGTGTCTGGAGCCTGTAACATCATCAATGACCCCTCACACCCCCACCATGGACTGCTCTCCCTGCTGCCCTCTGGGAAGAAGTTTCGCAGCATCCGCTGCAGGACCAGCAGGTTCTGCAACAGCTCTTTCCCCACTGCCATCAAACTGTTATACTGTTGAACTCTAAACTGGACTCTGCATCACACTTACATTATTTTGCACTACCAACCAGCTGAACATTTATAATACTTTTAAATATGACACAACTCATTGCCTACTGCATTTTGCACCACATTCAAGTTGCACTGCAATGAAACTTTTCATATTATTGCCCTTTTACACCATTATTTCTAAACTGGTTTCTTTTCTCCTACACCATTTAGAGCAGTGGTCCCCAAACTACGGCCCACCTCCACACTTGGTCCAGCCCCCTGAACAATACCAGATAGAGTGGTTTTTTTTTTTTTTTTTGGATTTGATTTTAAAGTTGGACATTTGCAATAAAATGTTTCTTAATTATGAAGTTTTTTTATTATTAACTATTAGTAACTATTTCATTTCATACATATAACGCAACAATGTTCCACACTTTTGGGGTCTGTGCCCCTATCTGGCAACCCCCAGCATAAAATCTTAAACCCGCCCCTCTCAAAGAGAAACGGAAGAGGATTAGGGCCATTCAAAAGAAATAAAAATAATAGTCTCTTCAATTCTGACTTTTTTCTCAGAGTTCTGACTTTATTCTCAGAATTTTGAGGAAAAAGTCAGAATTCTGACTTTAATTAGGAAAAAAAGTCAGAATTGAATAGTTTTTTTTTCTCTTTTGAATGGCCCTAATCCTCTTCCGTAAAGAGCGAACGGAATAATGGCGTAAAGATAAGGTAAGAGAAAAATTGATTCAGAATGCAGGGCATTTAACCTGAATTGGACAAACGATATTTTTTTGTTCAATGTAAAGAAAAGGCTGTCTGTGTCATCTGTCAAGAAGCGGTGGCAGTATTCAAAGAATATAACCTGAGGAGACACTATGACTCCCGTCATAAAGACATAAATCCCGTCATAAATTTAGGCACTCTTGCAATCGTCACAATTTTTCTGTTACAAACTGACCCTGGCCCCCCATCAGAGAAGGGAAAAGTTATGTGGCCCTCACAGGAAAAAGTTTGGGGACCCCTGATTTAGAGTCTTATTACTGCTGCACTTATATTACCTATAAACGGTAATGTTCATTTCACTGTTGTAAGCTGTATGCAACGGAATTTCATTTTGTATCCACTCTGTGCATACAAAATGACAATAAAGCTTGTCTACGTCTAACTACAGGAAGGGTAGTAAAAGAAAACCACAGTATAAGTATTATAAATCACTTTATAATGAAACCTAATTATAAATCTCCGGCTATGAACCTTTGCAAAGAGGAATTAGAAAAGATTTCAAATACCCCAAAAAAAGGACTAGCAGCCAAATGCGCTTCTGAAACAAGTTGATTTCTTATGCACCAGAGAATAAAGCTGTTTTATCGCACATGCAAATACAGCATCAGTGCTTCAGCATCATCCCTCTGCAGTTAGAAATCCGATGTCCTGGTCAGACTCCGACTCTTTACACACGCAAACAAGAAAAAAACAACCCGGATATGAAAATGTGATGGGAGACGTTTAGAGCTGAAGCAAACACCTATTCAAATCACAATCAGAAGCTAACAAAAAAAGCCTCTGCTTCTTGCCTCCAACTAAAGCCTATCTGAGACAGACCTTGTGAATTATTTTCTAGAACAAAGCTTTCATCTCATCTGATCAGCCTCGTTTTATTTATTGCAATCCAAGTGCAGTAAATCAATATCACCAGAGAAGATATAAACCGCATCCAATCCGACACCGCTAATGCCAGCTAATTGCCATCTGGGGGAGGAAACAACACCTATGCAGCGTTCTCAGAAGCCTCAGATGGTTTAACCAATTAAAATAGAAAAATCTTTAATTAGTCATCTCTATTTATACTGATAAATATACATGTGGAGGGGGAAGAGAGCATCTAATGTAGCATTGATGGGCTTTCCCTATTGCAGCAGAATAATCTGACATGTGAATTCTGTGGACTGGATGAATAAACCGGAGCACACGTCCTCTGAGATGAGGAACACCAGCCCAGTCTGCAACATGTCAAAGACATAAAGGATGATGTGCAGCGAAGCGTGGGTTATTGCAAAAATAATGTCTGCCTGGGTGATTTCACAGCTCATATTGATGCTAAACTAATATACAGGAGACAGGTGCACTGTAAAAGCTGCCGCTATAGGAAGAATAGAGACTGAAGTACCAGAGCTGTAGGATGTAAATCATTAACTCTGGGATTTAAAGATTTATTCTGGAAAGATCCTTTTGTGTTCTCCAGTCTTTCGAATGAAAACTAGAGGAAATCTGTGATATGCGCCTGCTGTTGTACAATTTGATCCATTACAAAGCTCCTTTACACGTAACGCTGAAACCATCCATCCTTTTTAGCTTTTCTCTTCTTTAACACCATCACTTATGTCTCTGCGCATTAAAATCAGGATGTGGTTTAGCTATCCTCTTGTCTTCAGCACAGGATATTAACACGAAATCCAGCTCAGTGTTTGGAATCGACAGTAAACCAAAACATCTAAAGTTAATTGAATGCAGTTGGGAAATCGAGATATAAGGTTTGTCGAGGAATTATTTGGTCTGTTTCCTGTTTTTCGGAGCAGTTTTATTTAAAATCTTGATGACAGTCATACAGGTCCATGTTTTGACCCCACAGTCTGATCCTCTGTCCTTCTGGAGCTGCCATGAGCCTCGACTACATTCAAACTCCATCAACAGTCTTAAACAGGGTATGTATTAAACAGCCAGACCTTATAACACTGGAATATAAAAACTATATAATTCCAGAAGAATCCTATGCAATATTAATGCCATAAAATGAAATCCCAAGGATACATTTTCCATCTCAGAAGTTTATTACGAAAAACTAATCTCTAGGAGGCCGATATTAAAAAATTACCAAGATGCAATAATCAGCTTGAATAAACCAGAATCTTGCTGAGCTTTTGGATTTTACTTCCTGCCATTAGCTAGAGATGGAATGCAGAAATCTAGCTTTTCTTGATGACATTTGCAGCCAAAGTCATTACTTGCAGTTAAATTACAAAGGTTCAAAATTAGGATAATGAAATACCCAAAAATCAGTGCATGGTGAAGCAAGTTAAATATTAACATGAGAAATATGGAGTAACAACAACCTAACTGACCCTTTTCATCATTCTAAAATAAATGTTTAGACAAACACATGCATTTAGGATTTAACAGCCTGTAGTTAAGAAAAAAAAAAGCTATCTTCTGCATCTGAGGGATGCAGGAGATAGCTACATCTACTCTATTATGCTTCTACCTTTCCTCATTTTCAAATGGACTGAAAACATCAATATGTCCTAAAACCTTCAGGTATCTCTCACAAAAGCAAAAGAGGGGAAAACAGTGTTCTTAGATAGACAATCCACATTTTGAAATGTCCTACCCAGAGTCAAATCTGTGGAAAAGAGACGTTTGGATAATCTGTTAGATTATCAGCACTTCAGCAAGATTGGGTAGGTAAATGTCTTCTATAAAACAAGACTAAAACTCTAACCAATGTCAGGGGTTTACGGTTCTGCATTATAACACAAAAAGGTTATTGTAGCCTTTATTTATCGTATTATTATTGTTTTTGTTAAACTTTAAATCTGTGTGTCAGATTACAGGTGAGAAATGTACTTCAACCCTTCATTTTCCATCATAAAAGCCTATTATTTTATCAGGAGTGTGAAATGTTTCGTTTCCACTCGTGATTTCATTCCATAGCTCTATGGTTTGATGGTTTTAGCCACTGCTGCAACAGCTGTGCATCGATGTGCTGGATGAAAAAAGAAAATAACCCGATCCATCTTTGTATCATTTAAGGGAGGGTGGAAAGTTTAGAAGAAAGAAAAGGTTGGAACGATTTGTTAAACAGGAATAAATGTCTGTAAGCAAAACACACCAGGGAGGAAACTTTGTGAGCAGCCAGCAGATGAGACAAAGTTAGAAACAGGTCTGAGCGTCTGGTTCAGGCTAGCTGCTGTCGGCAGGACTTACTGACGCTGCTGCAGACAGCCAGGCAGTACTCCTCTGACTCAAAGTTATTCCTGTTGCCTCCGCAGCCCCCGTAGATAAACTGAACACAGCGGCCCTCCTGTCGGTCAAAGTACCAGCGGGGCAGCATGGCCCGGCATGGGCCAGTCTCAGCATTGGCCCAGCACACATCTTGGAGGACACACACACACACTTTATTATTTAGGAATGTAAAAATAAAACCCCAATCACTTGTTTCATTTTCACCAATAATATAAAAAAAGGTTTCCATCATTATTTATGCTGCTTAAGGTCAAATTTAACACAAAAAAAGTTGAACTAGAGATGATTTTAACAAGACGTCTAAAGAAAGCTGTGATGATAGATGGTCATGTTGTCTAAAGTAATCTAAACAGCTCTTTACCTCTCACTACTTCTTCGACAGACTCTGTGGTAGTGGTGGTGGTCGTTGTCATGGCAACATTAGTGGTGGGCTCATCTGCATCATCGCTGTCATCAAGTGTATCCATGATGTCATCCTCTTCTTCATCCTCCTCCACGGCCTCCTCGTCCTCCTCTCCATCTCCATCCTGGTCGTTGTCCAACAGATCTTCCTCCTCGTCTTCATCCTCCTCCTCATCATCCTCCTCTGGAGCTTCTCCGTCATCCTCCTCTTCTACCACAGATGGTTTGGTTTCCTCTCGCTGTTCCACTGGCTCTGGCTCATGCACCATGCTGAGAGGAGGCAAAAGGGAGTGAGCGAGGCAGGGAGGAGCCGAAAGGAAGCGGATAAAAGACGGGGCTCAGTGCTCATTCCTCTGGATGGAAATTATCACCTGTCACCGTAGTCCGTCTCAGCTCCGCCCCACCAGACATCGGAATCATCGGTGTCCTGCTCCACGCTCTCGGCGCCCTGCTCCGCCTCGCTGGGGCAGCAAACAAACTCCACTCCTCTGAAGCGGTCGATGCCGCAAGGCAGCAGCATCCCGTAATCATGGAGATTCATGGTACGGTCGCCACAGGACTACCCAGGTAAAGGTACAAAAAAAAAGCAGAAAAATAAGGAGAAGATTAATAATTAAATAAAAAAAGGTGAATAAATCAAAGTAAAGTAGTGAAAGTGTGCTCACCTCCTTGGCTACAGTGTGCCAGTGCAGGTGGCTCTCGCATTTATCCATCCGCTCTTGGTGGAGGAACTTGCACTTGTCGGGAACGAGCAGAGCATCGCTCACAAACTCTCCCACTGCGGCGCAAACACAATAAGCTCAGATCTCATAGTAACAATATAAACAAACCCCCAGATAACCCATCCAGATTTCAGACCACACAGCAAGTTATCCAATTTCCTGGGAGTTATTCCATATGAATGGAGTTTTAAAACTGAAATGGCAAGAAAAGATGGCAGATTTACCCAAGCAGCGATAGGGCACCACTATGTGCATGTGACTGCGACACTGCTTGCGTCCCTTCTTGCACCAGTTCTGGATGCTGACCGGCTGGTTGGCTTCCACCACGTTGGTAATTTGGAGCTCTGGATACACCTAGATGCACAATATTACAGCATGCGTTACAACCGCAACATAATAGTGCAAAAAAAAACAACAAACAAACACCCCAACTGATTTTACAGCTGCTAATCATTTATCATGTGCAAACTTTACTAGTTACAGAGATCAACTGTTTGCTAATTATTACCAAAACATAATTAAGTCTTTTTAACCATGGATGGAAAACATTTTCTCTTAACTTTGGAGGAAATAGTCTTGATCTCATCTTTCTCTTTGTTTTCTCTTCTCTCCCAGTAGATGCCCTCCAATCATCTAAATTTTAAGACTTTTTACCAGCTGTGTTTATCTTGTCATGTTTTTTTTATTTTATTTCAGAATGTGAGGAATGTATTATGTTTTCAGCTTTTATTTTAGGCTCCCTCCCTGCGTCCTATTACCATCTATGCGTGACTGTGAAAGCAAAGTCACATGGAAGGACATAAGCAGCTTGATGGCAGAACAAAGCTTAGGGGAAAACATGTAAAAAAGGGAAATTTTGGATTCTCTTTTTTTTCCTTTTTCTATTTACAGAAATTAAAGGCTCGTCGCAAAAAGAAGAAAAAGAAATATATACTTTCCTGACTTCACTCCTCCCATAGTACTTTGCTTTACAACATTTTAAACCAACTGAATAAAGCAAACCTATTTTTTTCTAAATGGTTCAGTGACATTTCGTTCAGCTTCATGGACAGAATCATTAACAGAGAAATTGCTGCAATTCTTTGTGATAGAAAGTGTCTCACCTCACCGTCTTTAACAGAGTGAATTCCTGGAAGGAGCCACTAACACAGATACTATCCCATTAACAAAGTCCATTTTGTTTTACTGACTTTGAAAAATACTCATTGCTCTGCTTCTTTGTTTAGCCATGTCTTTCCAAAGGATAAAGCCATTGTTGCAATTAACTTGGAATGTTTTAATTTCCAGAAAACATTATTTAATATATTTTCCTTGAAACAATACTGCTGTCAGTGACTTTTGTGGGGTGTGTTTTCTTTTTTAATAGAAAGTATTCAGGTGTTAGAGCATCTGTGTTTAACTGGGTCTCTTTCCTGGAAAAGAACACTGACCGACATTTAGGGCTTCAGTCTTTAGTTGCATTTCTCATTGACACAAATACTATACTGCTGTATTTTTCTTATCTTTATTTATTTCTCAGAAATTAATATTGGTCAGTGTCTCTGCTGCCTTTAACGCTTGTGTTTTCTCAATTTCTCTTCCACACAAAGCTATAATGTCTGAATAATTATATGTTTAGCTGCGTCTCTTTTCAGCAAGAAGCCACTAGTTCTCTTCATCCAGAGCATTTACCTTTGTCTACATTTCCTTCAGAGAAAAAAAGCCAAACAATTACAGTTCTTCTGCTGCTTTTGTGTTCTATTTTACCTTTCATAGTTTAGCCATGTCTCTTTTCTGGAAAAAGCCTAACAGGTAACAAACAGGCTGTTTCTGGTTAAAGCTTTGCTTTAGCCCCATTAAATTTAATGCAGTCACCTGGGCTCGCTTAGAGAACTTTTTACCATTTCGTATAAATTTCACTGAATTTACATCATTATGATATAAAATAAAACAATTGCTTTGGCTGTAGTAATTGTAGTTTCTGATCGATTTTGTTTCTTGTTAATTGAACCGATTTGTCTTGTAAATATGTGTTTTATAGATTATGTGTAACGGAATGACTTCTAAATACCATTAAAAATTTTCTGAAATCTGCTCCAAAACCGTTTAAATAATTATCTTTTTGTTTTAGTTTAAGAGGGGAAAAAAGCCTCTAATGAACTACTGTAAAATGAGCAAATTGGCAAAGACAATTTACCTCCTGGCAGTACTCCAAGATGCCCTCTTTGGTACCAATGCAGCTCTTGGTACCAGAGGGGTCAGGCTCCCACTTGCCGCTCTGCACGTTAATGTGCATGTTGAGTTTACCACAAAACATGGCCACCTGGGGCTCAGCCAGCAGACCCATCGAAACATCTGTGGGAACCTGAGAAAGATGGAGAGGAAATTCAATGAGATACAAATGGTCTATTAAACTCAGAGAATGCTAGCAGTTTCATTATCAGAGTAGCTCATTTTTCATAGCATCTTGTTCGAAAAACTGGAAATTAAAACTGGAAAGAAAAAAAAAGCTATCTGATAGAACACACAAACTGGACACAATCTGTTTTGTTTGTGTCTTTTGCTGTTTAAACTACTAACTGAGGTATAATTTGTTTAAGTTTGTAGTCCAACTGTTATCCGCTTTACTTCCAGTTTTTATCTTTATTCTTATCTTTTATTTTCTATCTTTTTTATTGTTTGAATCATAAAGCACTTTGGAGTCGTCTTTGTGCTAATTTTGCCAGACAAATAAACTTGCCTTGCCAATGAGAAATAGCCCATGTGGAATACAAAAGGCCATCTTTTACATGAATGTAGTAATTTCTCTGTAAGATGTGATCCCTGTGTGGTGATTTGTACCTCTGCTTATGTGAGCTGCTGTAGCCATTACAGCATAAAGAAAAAGGTTTTGTTTAGAGACTCCCCTCAGAGGAAGGTGCAGACAAACCACTGAATGTCTGCATTGTACTGTCAAATGAGCTAGAACAAAATGGGAGGGAAAATGGGAGGGAGGGGGCGAAAACAGACGGAGACAGAGGGAGAAAGGAGAGGGAATTTTGCCATTGTACGCTCCCTAATCTTGTTAATGGTTTGAAGGCCCTGGCAGGCAAACAAATGTTGTTTTGTGAGATGGATTGCATATTTTGCCCTGCAGACTTGATTCTCTCCCAGCAGCCAAGAGCGTGAAGTCCCCTTCGCAAAGAGAATAGCTGGTGTGGGACATCGATTTGGATTCAATTTAAGGCCAAAACCTCAAATCTCTGGATGCATTTAGCAGCCGTATACCTGGTGCATCAGTGCAAAGATTAACTTCAATGTTTTTTATTTGTTGCATTTATGTGTCTGGCATGAGGATGACGGCACTCTGAGGAGCTGCTCCATATTCACCAGATTGCACCCAAAGAACACAAGCGAAGCAAAACAGATAGCTTGCATGGGGTAAATGCTAAAGGAAAACAAAAAAAAACCTGCATAATGTTTAATATCAAGTTTATTTTTCATGAATGGAATTAATCTGCTTATAATCCAAGATAGTTTTGCAATAATATGAAACAGAACAGATTCATTTATTCGATTATCAAAAAAAAAGAAAAAAGAAAAAAAGAAACAAAGCACGAAGGAGATCAAATCAACATAGAGCTGCACATTATAGAGAATAGCAGCATTAATCTATGAAAAAACAATTACAAAAGGACAACCGGGATGCTGTATCTACCAAGGTTTATATTGGATGCCAATTGTGCATTTCTGTTTACACCTGATGGCAACAAGGTTCAAGCTCAGAGAAAGTGGTAGGGGGGTGTGATGATGGCGAAGAGGCAGGAAAGCTTAGGCTAGTCATGTCATCATTGGACTATTTAGCATAGTATTGGTATAACTTATTGTTTTTTTTAATAGCCATCATAAAGAAGATATGGTAATTACATGGTAACATCTTGAACTCTAAAACTGACATTACAAGCTTCATCATCTGCAAATACAGTCACTGCACCTTGCAAGACAGTCAGCAGAAGTGCATGCTTTGTTTTCCTTATATAAAAACCTAGAATTTATATCCATATATATATAAGGTGTATTTCCACATACAGATCAAATCAGTTTGTCTCATACCAAGCATAGAAGTGACACTGAGAAGACGAGGAATTGGGCGTACTTTCATTTTACATAGGAAAATGCTGGATTTCAACATTCCTGTCATTCCTCTGGGAAGCTGAGTGAAGGCAAGGATCTACTTTCCCTGGGAACAACGCAAACAGACTCCCATTTACAAATCGTGTTTAAAATCCAAATTCTATAATCAATTTACTCTGCTCCTTATATAAAGCTTTAAAAACAGCATATTGAAGATTCTACACAAAATTTATATAGCTGCAGGATCTAAATTCATAAAATTTACATCAATAGCAGCAGGTTAGGTTAAATGTAAAATAATCAGTGGACATCAAGATCAGCCAGGCACATTTGTGACCACCGTGAATCAATATAATCCCATTTCACAATTTATTTACGGTGGCTGAATGCAGATAAGAACACACTCTCATACCACTAGATTGAGTTTCATTAGTGTGGACCGATGATGCATCTTCAACTTTCATCCCCCTGTTACAGTTCAACATGAGCTGCATGCTGCAGAAAATCCCAAAACAAGGCTGTAAAACCCCCCATTGGCCAAAGCATCCCTTCTGATCACACAAATTCTAACACTGACGGCCATTACTCTTAACACCGAGCCATCTGCAGCACCACGGGATTATTTAAAGGTCTGTTCCCACAGTGCCATCTGGTAGAGACCGCGTCTTAGCGAGAAGACGAAATTGTCTTTTAAAGGAACTATTCTCTAAAAAGAGACAGCAGATAATTAAGATATTTTAAAGTGTCTTTGGTTTTATTTTGACCACATTATAAGAGTTAATCTCTCTGCTTTGTCTCAGCAAGTGTAGGTAAATCAGTTTCCTACCAGCTGCTTGCTGACATTGATATTCGTGGTCACCTTCATTTGGCTGGCAAATGCAAGCCTTCCCGGTCAGACTCTTCAGCCTCTCGACCTCTCCTCTGTCACAGAAAACCAGAAGGGAGGGAGGGGCCGGGGAAGCGGTCAAGCCTTGGCTGCAAGCCGATAAATCACAGGCAGGGGTTGACGACAAAAGGCAGGAGCACGAGACAGAAACGCAGCTACAATAGCAGGGGATTGGAGGGCAGAGGAGTTAGACAATAAGCCTTTTGGGGTCAGGGATGAGGTCAGGGACTTTTCTAATCAGAGGAGTGGAAGAAAACAAACCTAGGTCAAAACCTAAATATATATTTGTTTCCAAATTAGTAAAAAAAAAAGCTATAAGTGAAGAAGAAGCTGATTATATTTTTAGATTTGGTGGAAATGGATCCTGGATGGAGGACAGATGGGCAGAGAAATGCTAAACCACAATAGGTATAAAAGCATTATTGTGCCATAAACCACCACTCCAGGTTCACAGTCTGTAGTAGCCTCATGGTTGCTCCTCCTGCATGGAAGGAAGGACTCTATAATCTAAGCCCTGTGGATTAGGACCACGGTCTGTTCAGGAGAAACATCCCTGTTTGCTCTCAATCTGGCATAATAGCCATCTCATTTACTGCCTTGGATAAATCCGGGCAAAGGCGGCAAATGCTGTCACCAAGACTGTGGAATCAAACCCCAGGCACATAAAGCTGCTTAACCCACACATAGTGTTTTTAAAAACGCTTTAAGGGTCATGGAACGCAAAACTATTTAAATCCCATATTTGCAAGAAAACAAAAAAGAATATAAAACAATGACACTGGAGTTAAATATAATAGAACGATTAAAGTGGATTTACTGGTGCAATTTGCTGGAGTGGTTCATGTCCACTCAGCTTTGAAAACACTTTTCATGAAATACCTGCAATTTAATTACAGAACGAGAAAAAAAA